TCTTGGCATTTAAGTGGTTATTCCCTTCCTGACGTTCTGTTCTCTCACGGGACAGATCCTGATAACCAGTTCTTTTCCCTTCTGCCCCACTGGCTAGTTGAAGTTTGTCAGCCGTGGGGGGCAGGGAGGGGGTGAAGGGTGCTATGTGAAGCCCCGTCCTCCACCTTCTTGGACACTGTGGGAGTTGTTGTGCAGCACGGATGTCCAGGCTTTGCTCCTTGCTGTCTTTGCACAGCTTAGAGTCTGGACATACTGTAGAGCTCCACAGCTTTGGTGCACAGCTTAGAGTCTGGGCATACTGTAGAGTGCCACAGCTTAGAGTCAGGGCGTACCGTAGAGCTCCACAGCTTCGGTGCAGTACTGGACTCTGAATGTGAGTACCCAGCTGTGGAAAGTGCACCCAAGGGCCTCCCGTAAGCTTCCTGTGTGCTGCAACCCTTACCATCATTCCAGGCATTGGAAGTGGATCCTGGCTCCCTGTTAGGAAGCAAAGGCACAGTGGTGGAACTTCGGCCTAAAGCAGGCCTGGTAGCCTCTCTGGCTCCGCATGGTTCCCAAGTTTACCAGCAGCTGGGAGTTCATTTATTTGTGCCTCTCTCCTCTCCTCCTGTGCTCGCCCAACCACTGTTGCAGCTCGCTCTACTCCGTATGTATGCTTTGTCATGTCTGGTAGGAGTTTCCCGTCCACTTCTGTGGTGTCCTTAGAGAACCATCTATCGTCACTCTGTCCGTCCATTTCCTTATCTGTCTCACAGAGCTCAGGGGCCTAAGCCTCTGTTGTGGCCTGCACGGGCTCACAGTTCCCCTTTCCTATGGCTCCATCTGGAGCAGCCCTAGACATTAGCGTCTTAAAGCGTCTGTCCTCTGGTCATGAGTTATTGGCTGCTGCTTCCTCTGATCTCCCTCTCTCTCTTTGGGTTTTTTGAGACAGGGTTTCTCTGGGTAGCCATGGCTGTCCTAGAACTCACTCTGTAGACCAGGTTGGCCTTGAAGTCAAGAGATCCATCTCCCTCTGCTTCCCGAGTGCTGGGATCAAAGGTGTGTGCCACCACAGCCCAGCTTCCTCTGATCTCTTAACATAGTAACTTCTACAGCACACAAACCCTTGCACCTGTTGGGGAGGTAAGCAGGAGGGAGACACATGGGAGGAGTCCATAGTGATGAGTGTTGAGCCCAGGGCTTAGCTCCAGGTAGGTACTTGGTGGTACTGGCTATTGAGATCCTGTTCAAGTTGGTATTCTGTCTGTCCTTCTGTCCAGATTGGTGCAGAGTCCAAACAGACTCTAGAACCAGAGTACCAAGGATTTGTGTATTGCCAGCATGGAGTAACATGTCAGATACCCAGGGGCCAAGCATGGCTTCTATTACTGAATACAGAGTGCCCATCCTTCAGAATAGTCACACAGGTAAAATTAGATAGATAGATAGATAGATAGATAGATAGATAGATAGAAAGAAAGAAAAAAGCAAAACAACCCAGTGAATGTCAAGCAGCACATTTTGGCATGGGAGAGGTGAGCTATGGGATATGGCACTCACCAGTTGACCCTCCCAAGGTCAGAGCTCTTCCCAGAAATCAGAATCGTCAGTGAACCAAACTACTACCGTGATATTCCCAGGGGGGAAAGAACAGATCAATGAAGTAATAAGGGTGGCTGCGGCTGCATTCCCAGCACCCCGGCTGCCTGCTCAGCTAGCTTATGCCCCAAAATAATTACACGGACACTGTATTCTTTTAATCACTGCTTGGCCCTTTAGCCCTAGCCCTTACTGGCTAATTCTCACATCCCGATCAACCCATCTCTAATAATCTGTGAGAACCGGTCTTACCGGGAAGATTCTAGCCTAGTCCATCCTGGGTCGGAGCTTCATCCCGGGAGCAGGGCATGGCATCTCTCTCTGAGGCGTCTGCTCCCGAGAGGAGAGCTGTGAGTCTCTGAGCTCACTTCCTCTTCCTCCCAGCATTTTGTTCTGTTTTCTCCTCCCACCTATCCTCTAACCAATAAAATGGGCCAGGGCAGTGCCTTTATTAGCCAATGACCTTCCTCCATCATTTCCCCTTTTTCGGTTTAAACAAAAAAAAAAAAAAAAGGCTTTAACTTTAACATAGCAAAATTACATATAACAAAACAGTTATCAAGTAAAAGTTACAATAATCTTTATCATAACTAAGGAAAACTATAACTATAACTAACTATTCTTAACTCCATCAAAGACTCCAGAAAGATATATTACCTAAGTAAACAAGAACTAAGAAACTTCAAACTCTAGAAATGACAAAGACATCTCACTGCCTGGACAGTCACCCAAAGTTCTTTTGTACCGTTGGGGCATCCATCTTCAGCCTTCAGGCCCATGGTATCCAGCAGACATTTCCATAAAGCAGGAAAATTCAAAGTCAGTTCAGTCACTATCTGTTGTGTCCTGCAGAATGTCTCGCAGACTCTTTCAAAATGAATCAGGAACCCCGAAAGATCATCTCACCTTAGGCAAGTTCAGTAGTCCTCTCTCTGCGGGTTCTCTGTGTCCAGTTTATGCAATAGTCCAGGCAAGAGCAGTTTCTTGCCCAAATGGCTATCAAACTCCATAACGAGCCTCCTCGATGCCCATCTTCCTCTTGAAGTACATTGGTGCTGCCAGGAGCAGAGTGTCTCATTGTCATGAAAAGTCCTCAGTTATTAAAACATTAAATGTCCTATTCTGTCATCTTTGAAAGACATGAAGAATGTCTATCTAAAATATATCTCTATATATCTAGAAAATCTAACTAACATGACTACAAGCTTTACTATTATCGATGATTATCCATTAACAACCTATATTTCTTAATTATACAGTACATATTTAAATGAACTACACAATCACAATACCTTAATCAAAATCAGAAACACTTATACATATAACAAAATTGACCTTAAATCTCTATCAATAAAGCAAAATCTATACTAATGCAAATTATTCATATCTATATCATATCCCCCTTTAAATGTAAAAGAACATTTATAAACATTTTTTTGGGAATATGGGCGCAGTTATTTCTCTCCAAACTGCTTCCTGCTGAATGGGGGCGTCGTTAATTAGGTCTTTCACGGTATAACCTGTGTGCTAGTTTCATCTCAGTTGGCAGTTGAGCGAAGCAATTTTTTGAAGGCGTGCACAGGAACCATTCAGGAGGACGTGGTCCATCATACCAAATCGGAATAGAAGAAATGAACAGCGTCTCATCCTCTGTTAAAACAAAATAAGAAACTCCTTTCCAAAGCATCATGTCCTTAGATCCAAATTTCAAATTCAAGGCATCAAAATATCTATGTTGGATTGGTTCAGCAGCATTTATAAATAAATATCTTTTAGTAGCTTTTGCTCTTTCCTCAGCATTCAAACAATTCAAAGAGAGCATAATAGCATACAGTATCAAAATTCTCTGTGTATTTTCCATCTTTGTTCGTTTTATTTTAACCTCTATTTTGTTTATTTTTACTTTTAACTCTTTGCTTTTTGAGACAGGTTCTCTGTATCTTTGACCTGAAGTAACTCTGTAGACCAGGCTGTCTTTGAACTGTCAGAGATCCGCCTGTCTCTGCCTCCCAGGCATTGGGATTAAAGGTGTACACTACTACACCTTGAACTCACAGAGATCTGTTTGTCTCTGCCTTCTAGGCACTGGGATTAAAGGCGTGTGCTACCACACATAACAATTCTCTTTCTTTTTTTTTTTTTTTGTTTTTTACTTTAAGAACTTCAACTTTTAGTCTGCATATATTTTTAACACACTTCAAACCATTTAGAAATTTTCTCTGTCTTTGAATCTCTCTTTACTGTATATCTCTCTTTTTCTGACCACATGAATCTTTAATTTACCAAGCGATCTCAGTAGGACTAAAGGCGTGGCTTTGCCGGCTAGATGTAGTCCATTCCTTAGCTTTCCAGCCTCATGGCTGAGGTACTGGCTGTAGCCATGTTTACTGCAACAACTCTATGGCATTTCAAGGTCCCTGCCAGCAAGTGAGCTACAATAGACAACACTCAAGTCCTTTCTCGGTAGCCGGCCCTCCTGCCTCAAACAGTCAGAGTTTGCCCTGGCAGGATGGCCCAGAAAGCCGGCATTTTTAAACGGCGCAGCTTTTTTCCTGCTACGGCTGAAAACCGAAAAGCATGTGTTCAGCTTTTCGTCAACACCATTTAAGTGTTTCGTGGCAGGACCTCTTAATGAGCTGCAGGCTTTGCAGCTAAAGCTGAGTCAGGAAGCCTCTCTTAGATGAGGCGCTTGCTTGCCTTCAGCAAGCAGAGTAGAACCGAGAAATTGCTGCTACCAAGAAACCAGGCACAATGCTTTCATTTTGTTCTAGAATTACTTCCCAAGCTGTCTCAGGCTTTATGTGGAAGCAGTTGTCCACGTGGGCGCCATATGAAGTAATAAGGGTGGCTGCGGCTGCATTCCCAGCACCCCGGCTGCCTGCTCAGCTAGCTTATGCCCCAAAATAATTACACGGACACTGTATTCTTTTAATCACTGCTTGGCCCTTTAGCCCTAGCCCTTACTGGCTAATTCTCACATCCCGATCAACCCATCTCTAATAATCTGTGAGAACCGGTCTTACCGGGAAGATTCTAGCCTAGTCCATCCTGGGTCGGAGCTTCATCCCGGGAGCAGGGCATGGCATCTCTCTCTGAGGCGTCTGCTCCCGAGAGGAGAGCTGTGAGTCTCTGAGCTCACTTCCTCTTCCTCCCAGCATTTTGTTCTGTTTTCTCCTCCCACCTATCCTCTAACCAATAAAATGGGCCAGGGCAGTGCCTTTATTAGCCAATGACCTTCCTCCATCAGATCAATAAAAAACAGTGTTGGCTAATGAAAGTAAGAAATTAATCATGGGGTCAGTGTGACCTAGGTGCAGTTTCTTGGGAAAATTCCGTGTATTGAGGTGATTTGGACCACAGAGCCCATGTGTGTGCCTCCAGTAGAGTGACAGCTGACCCTGATGCCTTCCCTCTTCTCTTAGGGGGCAGTGCCCAAAGGAAATGCCACTAAAGAGTTCATCGAGAGCCTCCAGCTGAAGCCTGGGCAGGTGGTGTACAAGTGCCCCAAGTGCTGCAGCATCAAGCCCGACAGGGCCCACCACTGCAGGTACCGTGGACCCTCCTCAGCTCCAGGCCAGCACCAGGACTGCTGAGTGTCCCACCCAGTCAAGGAGTGACTGCTAGGGTGGAAAAGGCATTTGACAGCGAGGGACGCCTGATGTAGCCTCTGTTTTCGTGTCTGTAAGGCTGAGGGACTCCTGATTTCATGGTAACCCCATAGCTCTGGCAAACCTGTGAGGTGCAGTGCTTGAGACAGACATCTCTCAGACTTTCCTTGAAGCAACACTTGTGGAGCTTGTGACAGGAGCAGCCTCTAAGCAGAAGTCTCTTTTCCCTCTGAGCTGTTACAGGCATCCCTTTGTATCATCAGGGTTCTTTGAGTCTTCTTGTTGAGAAAACATCTTGCTCAAAATTGCATTTTTCTCATTACACGGGATCTATAAGCGGCCAATTACAGAGACCTCCAATGTCATTTGGCCCCTTTACAACATTCTGTATGTTTGGAGTGAGGAGGGCTTGGAGGATGAGCTTTGCTAGCTGAGATACTGGGAGAGAGATTGTACCTGAGCAACAGATTGTGGAGTGGTTTCCTGTGCTGCCCTACGAAACGATCTGTTTCTGTCACCCAGACCGGACAGCTCCCCAGCCCTGCTGTGTTCCAGGAATCTCGGTCTCTGTTACCTCTATTTCTGCCTTCATGGCCACCCCTGGAGATCCGGTATTGTTGCACAGGCAGTGCCCCTGATGGGGACGCTAGCCTCGCGTGGGCTGACTACTTTAAGGTCACGGAGCAAGCGGATACTTGAGACAGGTGTGGTTCTGGGTCCTTGTGGGGCTCTAGCTTTACTTAGAACTCCAGTATGAAAGTGATTCATACAATGGCAGCTGTGTGAGTGTTTGACTGAGAAGCTTTGCTTTTCCGGAGGACTTTGTCTTGGATTGCCTCTGAGGTCTGTTGAGGTTTGCTTCTTGTACGTAAGATGGCCACCCTTATACGTTCGTAAGATGATTACCCTTGGCCACCCTGAAGGCCTGACTCTGAAGCTGGAGAGGTTGTGTTTTAAGCCCGTGCAAAGTCTCTCTGGGGCACACTTTTCCCTTTCTAAACAGGGGTGACTGGTTCCTTCCTCATTTTAAGGATTTAATGTAAATAGCTATGGAGTGGCCAGCAGGAAGTGAAAGCTCCCCGTGAATGGAACCATGTGTGGGGTTAGAGATATGCACAGTTTCTAAAGACTAGGCCAGAAACCAGAGGATTAACCTTGTTAGGAAACAGCTTTCCTGCCACACAGTGGTTCTTTTCTCTTTCCTCCCTATGGCCCAGCACCTGGTGTTCTTTTTCTTCACTGCAGCTACCACGCCTCTTCACCTCCTCCCCAAAGTGACCCAAAGTGGGCACCCAAGTGCTGGCAAATAGCTGGAGCAAAGCAAGGGCTCCTGGTTTAGGGGAACCCGTGTCTGCCTCAGAAGATGTGCACTGCTCTTTCGTGATGGTGCGTGGAGGCCCAGGCTTTCCCAGAACCCTGGTTAGGGTAAGCAGGTCCTGAAACGTGAGATAGATTGGGGTTTTTGATGGTCTGTTAGCCAGAGACTGCTGCCTGGTCACGGTTAGAGAGAGCTGTGTTTGTCTTGTCCTTGGGAAGAGGGCCACACATACACCTGTTTCTGCATTCTGCTCCTGGTGGAGTCTATAGAGGTTGATAATATAGTCTCTATTCCCAGAGCTCTGGTGGGGTTATAGCTACACACAAACCTTCTGCCTGGAGTGATGGTTCTCATCCTTCCAGATTACAGCCCTTTAATACAGTTCCTCATGTTGTGGTGACACCCAACCGAAAATTATTTTCATTGCTATTTTATAACTGTAATTTTGCTCATAATGAATCTTAACGTAAGTAGCTGGTGTGCAGCCCCTGTGAAAGGGTCCTTCGACACCCCTCCAAGGGACGACACCCCTCCAAGAGATGAAAACCACTGATCTAGAGTCTGCCTCCTAGCCCTGCTTCTGTAGGTGGGCCTTTCCCTCCAGGAGCAGCCCTATAGCCCCAGGCGACTTTATTCCGTTTGAGTCCTCCCGTTTGTAAGGACTAGGGAAGCAGGTGAAAACCCTGTGTGGGTTTATGTAGAGCCAAGGCTTATGTGATAGGTTCCCAGGGGAGGCCAAGCCTGGCCTTGGTTGGGCCACACACCCTGGGCTCCCTTGATACACATACACTAAGGCTGAACCCTCATCAGCTTCCTAGAACCCTGAATGGACTCCTGCTACTTATTCTTCCAGTCCTTAGTCACCAAACATATCTTCATGTGACCTGGTGTTCACCTGAGGAACAGGGTGATGATCTGGATTTATTTGGACGGCCTGTTTCTTCACCCACACACAAAATGGAGATTGGTGTTCTGTTCTTCCCTTGCCCACGCTGTCTCTTCAGAACTGTTTTGGTCTAGAGTGTAGGATGCTGTTTGTTTGCCTACAATTTTGTCAGTCAGTGAGGTGGGTAATGAAAACCTGTAAATGAAACCAGGACTCCCAAGGTCTCTCACCTGCTCCACTGTGGTTTCGCCCATTTTCTAGGTCTGCTTATCTTGTCTGAGCTCTAAGCCTTCATGCTCAGACCCAGCCAGGCTAACCCTAGCTTGTGGTGGGCGAGAAGTAGCTCTAAGCCCGTGCAGGGCAGGTGTACCTATGACAGTGTGGTAGGGGTGCTACAAGGGGAGGTAGTTCTGGGTGACGTGGTTGTGTCTAATGTTGGTCAGCACCCAGGAGGGATCAGAGAACTTATGTTGGCTGCTTAAAGGCTGCACAGCGAAGATGGGTCCTTATGCCTCCCGGAGACGGAACACGACCCCCGAGTAGACGTGTTAATGCATAGAAGCCAAAGAGCTTGTGAATGTCTCCTCAGAGTTGGGTGTTGAAAAGTGGCAAGGGAGTGGTAGAAAGAAGGGACGAGAACCATTGGTTTTTCAAGCAGTGGTGTAAAAGATAGGAAATCTAGAGGCCACGGCACCGGGAAATACCTCCGTAGAGTGCATTTGATGTTTTCGGTGACTGTTGCTTCACCCTCAGCCTCCATAGCTTGGGCCCCAAAGCCCTGCCTGCCCTGTATGAAGCCTTCTAGCCCAAGAAGAGAAGTGCTGCTTTGGCACTTCATGCCCTTGAGAGCAGGAAACATTGGACCCGCCCGCTTATGCAACTTTCAAGTGCTACAGTCACTTCCTGTCCCTCAAGCATGTGTTTGTCTGACCTGGTTGCCCGGTGCCCCTTAGCCCCTTGTGAAACCTAGCCTCCTGCCCGTCCACACCTGTTCTCTCACTGACTCAAGCATGTACTTGAAAGCCTCCCTAGAAAGAAGTAGGGTGGGAGACGACCTGTTCAGGAGCCTAGACAAGGAGAGATGCTCTCAGGAGTTCGTTTCCCAGGTGAAAAGAGCAGTAAGGACCCTAGAGCTCTCTTTATTGGGAAGACATGCCTGTAAGATGAGAAGTAGGTTGTAGTTGGTGACTCCATCCATGGGATCTGCTTTAAAATGGAGCATGAGAAGGCCAGGTATGGTGACACACAGCTTTAATCCCAGCACTCGAGAGGCAAAGGCACGTGGGTCTCTGTGTTTGAGGCCAACCTGGTCTACGAGCAGGTTCCAGAAGTACACAGAGAAACCTTGTTCTGTGGGGAGGAAGTGTTCACCAATGTATCATGTACATAATTCCCATGTGTAACAGAAGAGGCAGAGCAGACAGACCAGTGGTACAGTTACTGCCTTCTGCATCCGTGTAGGGCCTCCTTTTCCTCCCTTGCCTTCCTGCTCCCAGAGATCATGGAACCAGGCTAGCATTTCTGAATGTTGCCTGTGTCATGAGAGGCCCTTGGAGATGGAGAAGAGCGAGAGCAGTGGGAAGCCTCTGGTGTAAGGCAAGCTGATAGGAACCCACTAGTGTGGCTACGAAGTCCGCCAAGCTGCTACAGTTCCTATAGCCTAAAAAAGTACATTCCATCTCTGCTAGTGCTTGGTAGAGCTTCTAGAACTCACCCCCCCCCCCCCCAATATTCTGTCCTACAGTAACATTATCCAAACTCATCGTACTTGGCCTCCTCAGGAAACCCAGCTAAGTTCCGTGAGGCTGCGGACAACCTCTTACCTGGGTCAGTTCTAGCCTGTTAATGTGTGCAGATGCCTTGGAGGAATGACTTGACCCTGGAGGTCCTCATTCTGCCCTCCAGACGTATTTCTCCTGGTGCCCAGAGGTGGGAGCTGGAGTCTGGTATTGCCCAGCACCTGCTGGTTTGTCACTGTGCAGTACTTGTTTCAGACCCTATATGGTGATAATTCCTGCTGAGAGTCTGAATATGGTCCTTTCAGTGTCTGTAAACGGTGCATTCGCAAGATGGACCACCACTGTCCTTGGGTCAACAACTGTGTCGGCGAGAACAACCAGAAGTACTTTGTCCTGTTTACAGTAAGTCGGCTTCTGAGTTCTGCCCTGTCTCCACGAGGCAATGGGACTCTTATTCTTTGGAAAATGTCGGCACTCTGTGCGGTCTTTGCTGCTGTTGAGAACACTGCCTGCCCACGTGGCCGGATCTCCCCGGCTCCACAAGTGCCCTTCGCTTGTGTGTGTAGAAAGCAAGTTTGGTTTGCGTACCTGGGGCAAGCGTTCTGTTCTGGGTATCGCTCAGGCATTAGTCCCTAAAGAAGGCAGTGTTGCTGGTGACCTCGAGCTCGGAGCCCAGGTAGGTGCAGATGGTTGGCGCTCTGACCCTTTCAGTTAGAAGGAGCAGCAGGTCGTATGTGCCCCACACAGCCCGAGTCCTGTGTTTAGGCTGTACGTCTGTTCTGGTTCCACAGATTCCTAACAAACGGCTGATGCCTTCCCACTCCAAACAGGAAAGTAGGGGGTCTGTGGGCTGGAGGAATCACAGACACTCTTCTGGCCTTAGCCTAGCAAAATGTTCCCGTAGCACATGTTCAAGGAGACTGCACAGTTAGGCCGTTCTCCCAACAATGGCTCAGCCCTGCTTTCCTGTTTCAGATGTACATAGCTCTCATTTCCTTGCACGCCCTCATCATGGTGGGATTCCACTTCCTGCATTGCTTTGAAGAAGACTGGACAAGTAAGTATTGCTGGGGTTTTTCTTCCTGCTGTAGAGAAGGTGTAGAAACTGAGTGGCGTGGGGGCCTCTATTCCCTGTGCAGTACCAGGCCCAGCCTTATTTTATTAGATCTTCCGAAAGCCTACAGACTGATCAGGTTGTAAGAGAGGCAGCAGACTGTGTGTGTCCCAGAGATGCTCACAGGCGTAAGTGAGCAGAGGCCAGGCTCCTAAGGAGGCAGGGGAGAGACAGCTTTGTCTGGGTCTGCAGGGACTTGTTTCACTCTTGTCCCTGCTAGGATAGAAACCCAGGGCCGCAGCAGGCAAGCACTCTTCTCCTGGGCAACACCCCAGCTCTAAACAGGGCACTGTAACCAAGGACATTTTACCCCAGTCTCCCAGAGATCAGTTTTAACTTTTTGCCTAGGGCATAGAGGATTTGTGTTTGTTTTTCTTTGTGTGTGTGTGTGTGTGTTGTTGTTGTTGTTGTTATTTTCAGATTGCTTGTCTTGATATTTAGATTAAGATTGTAGACAGTGTCTCCCTGTTTCACACGTATCCCATCTAAATGTGCAGATGCTGAGGAAGGGAGCTTAGCCAGAGACTGCAGGAGAAACGGGGGTGGGAGAGCAGAAAGTAACAAGCAGCTACATGCTGGGCTAGAGCTTTCACACTCAGAATCTGCAAGTCAGATGTCCCAAGCAGGAACTGCTCTCCAGTTCTGCCCTTGGTGAGTGCCCTCCTCTTTCCACGTCTCCACTCTTTGGCCCTCTCCGTGTCCACCACAGTTTTGAGAGGGGGGCAGGAACAGCAAGATACCATCTGCAGAACCAAGTGAACCCAACCCATTTCTGCTCACTCAGTGAACATTCTGTAAGTGCTTGTATTCTGCCAGCTCTGGCAATCCAGGCCAATTCAGGTATGGCCTTGGCAACTTGATAGAGGGTATCCAGTGAGGTCATTTTATCATCACAAATCTCCTGCCTGTGTCAGGCTAATTGTGAGCAATTATTGTATAACCCAGACTGTCACAGAGGCGACGACGTTGTAGTGGTGCTAACAGGACAGGTAGAGACTGCTAGGAGCCAGGCAACATGCAGGGAGTATTTTGAGCATTGTTTTGTTTAGACCCTACGAGCCCCAGGATAGTAGAGTGCTCCTCCTTTATATATGACAAAAGCTGGGGTCAGAGTATGAAATAGTCCTGAGACCTCTCACCTGAAAAGAGGGCCTACAGTTCAAACCTTGTCTGCTGCCTCCAGTGCACAAGGTCCTCCCAGCCAGGTTCCTAGTGGAGTGGACTCCAGACACCCATTCCCAGGGCAGTAAGACTGGGAAAATTGCCCATGGTTAATAGTTAATGTCATCCTTGCTTGGCTCTGGTTAAGCTGTTGAGCCATAATAGATTTTGTATAAGAGGGCTCAGGGAGCTGTGTCCTAGGATGGGTACTCTGAGTTGGGGAGTTCTACACTCCTGGGGCCTGGATCCTACCATTCCAAATCCTAATTGGAATTTTCAGAGTCTGGGGCAAGAAAGGAAGGGAATGGTGGACCTCCCTGGCTTTGCCCCATAACAGTGCAGCTGAGAAGGGAGTGACCACTGTCTTTTATGTGTGTGCACGCTGGCACACACTCACACACACCCCACAGCTGAAGTAAGCTATACAGATGTTCTGTTTTCACTTCTTATCCATTTACCTGTACCAGGGGAACGTATATCTCAGGATGCCTGAGCTTCATGCTCAGATATCTGTGGTTGGGCAGCATTCAAAACTGATTGTACGGCAGTGAGAGAACAGTTACTTGCTGCCTGGAGTCCAACGTAGGTGTAGTGGGAGAGGTAGATGTCAGGTAAGGAAGAAAGGATGCGATTTCATTTCCCCATGGAAGGGGTAGGAAAGGCCAGCCAGTGCAGAGTGTTAGGGCCATCATGGAGCTCATGGTCAGGTTTGTCCCCTACCCATGACTGTCAGACTTGAGAGCCTTACTTCTTCCCAGAACCCCTCAGCACTCAGGGCCAGGCAGGTAGTAACCCACAGCCAGCTCCTCCATCTAGCGGGCTGCCAAGTCTCTTGGGGACTCCTTGAAGGAGTAAGAGGTCAAAAAGTAGGACCCAGAGGCAGGGTGGGAGCTTGGTGGGGTGGAGCAGAGAGCCGCGTAGCCATCCCTATCCCCGTACCACTTCCCTTGCAGAGTGCAGCTCCTTCTCGCCTCCCACCACGGTCATCCTGCTCATCCTGCTGTGCTTTGAGGCGCTGCTCTTCCTCATTTTCACTTCAGTGATGTTCGGGACCCAAGTGCACTCCATCTGCACAGATGAGACGGTAAGCAGGGGGCTTTGGGGACCTGGCCAGGTGCCGGGCCTGAGGGCTCAGGGTGCAGGGTCACATGGGACTGGTCCTGTCTGTAGCCCTAGCCAGAAGGTTGCCTTCTTTATCACATATTGTGCCCCTTTGGGCATTCTGCCAGGGTCTGCACTTCCCAGCAGGGCTTTAGGTATCAGCTTCTAGAGCTGGTGTCATGATTGGATCCAGGGGACGGATCTGCCCACCCGCTTCATGTCCTGCAGTCAGCTCCTGGCCTTACAGAGAAGTACAGGAGCTCTGAAGTGGCTGTAAGGTAGCGTTTCTTGACTTTTGTGCTTTGGGTTCTAGAGGGTGAGACGGGCAGCACCTTAGTTGAGTATGCAGAAGAATCGTGGGGACTTGCGTTCGGTCTCTTGCTTGCTCCTGGCTTCATGAGCGCTGCCCCCCACCTCCCCAGATAGAAACCTCCAGCTTGGTCTAGGGGCCCCGTGCTCTCCTGTAGCCATTACTAGATGAAGAGCGGCTTCTTCACGGCTTCAGGTGCCCAGAGCATGTTGTGGGAGCAAAGGCACACTGACAGCCTGGTCCTAGCTGTTGTTCATCAAGACTGTCCCCAAAGAGAATGCGTTGAAAAGAAACAAAAGGCCTGCAGCTCATGGGGAGAGCATCAACCTCTTTAACTGCTGTCTCCCCAGGTCCCTAGGCTGTGAGCACATGGGCTGCCCCATCCCCTCTTGACAGACAGCAGACAGACAACAGCCCCTGCTCTCTGTCCTTCCGGCATCTCAACAGCTGTTTGAAGGAGGGAAAGAAAACTCTCTTCCCCTTCCCTGGTTTTTGTTTTATCTTGTATTTTTTCCCTGAGACTTAGCAGGGAAAGTGGCACAGGCTGTGAGAATTGCCTTGGCCTCCCCACTGGAAAGACTTCCTTCCTCCCCACTGTGACCCCTTTCCCTCTAACCTGCGCTAATTCCTCCTTCCTCTTGGGGTGATTGTTTTCCTCACCACCTGCCTCTTAGTATCTCCCCTCTCCCCAGACTGCCCAGTGGCCACTTCCTGGACCTCTGGGCTGGTGAGACTGCACCAGAGCGGTCTCTTTAGCTGCTGCTCGTCTTTCTTTTCTTCTTCTTCTCCTTTTTTTTTCTGCAAAGTGGCCATGGTAGCTTCAGCTCTCCTGTTCATCTTTCCCGCACCAACAGCCACCGTTGGTTGTCAGAATTTCGGGCTCCTGCACCAAAGCCTTTGCATACACAGGTGCCTCGGAGCTCTTCCTGATGCAGCAAGGACTCGGGTCTGGCATGTAAACCCTTTGACTAGCCGGTGTCAGTCTTGTTGGCGGCAGTGGCCCGGGTGCCTGCTGAGAGCTCATTGCCCCTTCCTCCTTGGGAGCTTGTAAGTGTGTGATGCTTCTTACGAGAGAGAGAAGAAAGCTGTGTTATGTAGGTAGCTTCACGGCTTTGACAAAGAAGTGTTCACTCTGGTCATCGCGGGCAAGTGGACGTCTCCCCTGAAGCCACAGCCCTGGGGCGCCTGACTGAAAGTGTGATTGTTCTTGTTTTCAGGGAATAGAACAATTGAAAAAGGAAGAGAGAAGATGGGCTAAAAAAACAAAGTGGATGAACATGAAAGCTGTTTTTGGCCACCCTTTCTCTCTAGGCTGGGCCAGCCCCTTTGCCACACCAGACCAAGGGAAGGCAGACCCGTACCAGTACGTGGTCTGAAGGACCCTGACCGGCATTGCCACTCAGGCCACGTCATGGCACCGTCCCATCGCTCTCGTGAATGTTTAGGCCAAAAGCAAAACAAAGTGACTACTCTTAAAACTTTTTTATGTCTCCAGAAAAATGGCTGAGCATTGCAGAGAAAAAAAAGTCCCCGTGTTTTGGTTTTTTTTTTAAAAAAAAATATCATCTTTTCAATTTTTTGACGAATGAAGCTGCTCTTTTCCTTTTGAAATCACTTCTCTGGCCTCTGTCTCCTCTCTGCTGTCTGTGAGCACGGCTAACGTCGAGGGTGCTGTCCAGGCCCTGCCCCTTCTACTAATTGACCCCTGATGCTGTGTGTGGATGAACTGGTCCAGTAGGGAAGCCAAGAGGGCCTTGATTGCCTCCTGCCCACCGGGCAGCACTGGCACCCGTGGGACTCAGAACCTCACTGAAGATGATACTAGCCCCTAGAGGCCTAAGAATGTCAAGATTGGGGCTGGAGCCTTCAGAAGGGCCCTTCTGAAGCGGCTTCCTGCGCCCAAGTGAACACAGTTCACCTCAGTTTCAAAAGTAATTGCCAGCCTTGTACTTGATGGGTATGGATGTGCAAAATGATTTGGATGAGGTGGGAGAGGTAAGGGGGTCTCTGTATTCTGAATTAGCAGTTGTGTCCCTCTGACTTTTTGGAAGACTATGAAGGAGAGCTGTTTTCCAGTTCAAAAATGCCTTATACAATCACAAGAGGAAAAACAGTTTCAGGCAAGCTACACTTGTCTGTGTTACAACTACTTCCTACCCCAGTTCCCGCCCTTTCCCAGCAAGTTGTCAATCCAGCTATGTTCATTCTGAGGGAAACAGACAGGCCAGCTATCAGGATCATCTCATTTTTAGTCTGCCACGAGCATATATTTTCTGGAGTTTGAAGCCCTCTAGATGTGCACAGACCTGAATCTTGTGTTTCTCCTGGGAGATGGTTTGTAGATGTTAGGCAACGTTCTTAGAGTTGCCAGGTAGCCTCCCCCACACCTGCTCCTCAGCCCACCGCACAGACTAGCTTTCCCATCCGGAGGCAGTTCCTGCGCAGTCTCACAGGACTGAGCTGGTCCTGAGCTGGGGAAGGACCAGGGGATGCAGGAGGTGCTGGGAGAAACCCCTCTTGAACACTACATCCCACTTAGACCACGAGCACCGTGAAGTCCTCCACACTAGTGGTTTTAAAGCACTCACCACAGAACTCCCTTTGTAGCTTTTGCTTGGGGTGGGGGTGGGTTAAGGTTTTTCACTCTAGTCCTGGGTAGGAGGAAAGTCGACATAGCCCTGTGATTTTTTCAGAAGTCAGCGGGACATGCTGCCTCTTCCCAACTCTGCCAGTGCTTCCACATGGAAACAATGCAATAAACCTTTTCCAAACCTCTGTTTCTGCTCCACTGTCTCCCCAGGGTCTGTGCAGAAGGGTAGGTGGCGTCGGGCTGCAAGGTGAGGGAGTTCCGTTTGGTTTGTAAAGGGTATGCTGACCTTTCTGAGGTCAGTGCTGTGTGTGTGTTGGGTGGGTGCTCTGTGACTCCAGGACGCCAAGCTCTCCAGAGTCTGGGCCAGAGCCTGCCCAGCAGAGAGCAAAACTGAGCCAACCGAAAGTGCCTAGCGTCCCTGCCCACAGTTCTAGCGTGCTGCTGTGGGATTCTTGATGATGGCCTCAAGTGTTGACAGATGATGAGACCACCCTGGGCATTTAAGCGAGGGCTTGGCCACCTTCCCTACCTCATTTGGCTTTGACTTGTATCTGCTGTGCTGCTTAGGTGGAGATCCTGGGGGTTGGATGTGCGTGCGTGCGTGCGTGTATGTGTTTAATTTTGCACATACGTGCGTGCATGCGTGCGTGTGTGTATGTGTTTAATTTTGCACATAATTGTATATATTTACATATATAGGCTTTTTTTAGGTCAAGTTCATATCATTTGTTCTCCAGGCCTTTTAAATTTTATAGTTTTCTAGATATATATGAAAGAGGTGTGGCCTATTCCAGGTTCAGTAGGTTAGAATGCTCTAGCCTTGCTCAGATACTCAGGATGGACCCACTGGGCAGCGGGCAACAGCACTACAGCTGTGGTTTCTGTTGTCATTGTCTGTCTGTCTGTCTGTCTGTCTCTCTCTCACATACACACACACACACACACACACACACACACAGGTTCCCTCTCAAGACTGGAACTCAGGAAATCTCCTTCAAGGACATTTTTTGTAGGTGGCTCATTGCTTTTCCTGTGGAGTTCCTAGGGAATGCAGTAGGTGGCACTACAGGAGTTTGGATCCTGAAACAAGCTCACCCTCTAAACAAGGTTGCTCCCAGCTCACATCCCAAGTCTCATTTGAGTTTGCCTCTGAATTAGTACAAGTCCCAATGCTCACACTAAAGCAAAGGGGACTCAAGGTAGGACTAGCCCAGGGTGGCCTGTGTCTGTCCTAGTTCACATTCTCTGAGCGAGTGTACAGTGACCACATGTGTGTCAGCTTCTTCAGATGTAGTAAGAGTATCTTTCTCAGTGGTCCCCACTGGTAAGGGAGCCTACGTATCCTGTATTTCAGAATGGGAACTCTGGAGAGTAGGAGTGAAGAAGACCCAGTTGGGCTGGGTGATACCTACCATGTTCTTGTCCATCTCTGATGTCATATCTATGTGTTTACACGGGCTTGGTGACATGTGTGCAGGGTACAAAAGAAGATATGTGTGCTGGGCCTCTCCTCGATGCCATCATCTCTGTGACCCTCGAACCTTAAAAGAGCTAACGGATAGCCAGCCCTTGCTCAGTCTGCTCAGCCACTTCATATCCTGATGAGAAACCTTCCAAATGAGACAAACTACCAAACGTTTATTAAGGGATGCCCATGCAAGATTGGCATCACGGACTGTCCCACTCCAGGAGGATGGGCTGGAGTTCTCAAACCAGACTAATAAGATTTCAGTTCCTCTTTTTCTAAGCAGCGTATCAGCTTCAAAGGTTGAACTACCCAAGGGACGCAAATGATTCAGAGTTGCAGGGATGGGGCTTCAGGTTAGCTGTGCTGCTGGTGGTGATGGGTTGCTGTTGTTGCCCGCTGTGTGGGGTGTGCTCACACCGATCAACCACTGACTGGCGACTTCCACTCTGTTATGTGTGGCCTCTCCTACAAATGAATGCCAAGGAAACCTGAGATCTATAAAACAGTCTCTGGTGATCCTTAAACATTCCATGCAAGCCTGTCTTGACCAAGGCACCTTTACTGAAGAGCCAGCAGAAGAAGGATAAAACCAAGGAACCAACCTTCCCATGAGGAGTGTCTAGAGAGTTCTCCAGACCCACAATGTTTGAGTAGCCCCGCCATGGGCAGGTTTTCATTTTCCACTGTGGCTTCACTCTTGTGGGGCTGATTCTTGACTATATGAAGGCAAGCTTGGAGGCACACAGCTGTTAATCTCCACAGGTTCAGAAGTAGTAGCAAGAGGGTCCTTTTCACGGTCATTCTTGGGTATATGCAGAGCTCAAGGTTAGCCTGTGGTATATGAGACCCTGGATCTCAAAAGAATTCGTAAAGAGCCAGGTATAGTGGTGTGCGTCTGTAGTCCCAACACTCAGAAGGTTAGGATGGGAATGTGGCTTGAGTCAAGTTCAAGACCAACCTAGGAGGCACAGTGAAACCCTATTCCAGAGAAAAGGAAAGAAGCCACTGAGCAGCACACTCCACAAAACCAGGACCTTCAACCTCCTTTCTCCCTCAGAAGAAAGTTACCGCTTAAAGAAGAGAGGCCCGGATCCCTGTCTGTCCTTCACTTTTAATACACGTGAAGCAGAGGCCCCAGATCCTTTACTCTCCTCTTACTTGGACAACGAAAACCAGGAAGAATAATGAGTACTGCAGGGGTGGCAGCCCATAAACCCTCTGGGGAAAGTGGAATGAAGGATGCCTGGAATTCTTCAGCTGAGGTGACCGGACTCAGTGGCAGCACTTGTCCAACCCACACCAAAGGACGGGCGTGGACAGTCTCCCAGAGCCTTAGTTTCTCATGGTCTCTGCGAGCACTGGATGAAAATGCAGAAGGTAGAGTGGTCCGGGGCTTGGTTTCTGGGTATGTAACAGCTTCTCTGGAGCCGGGCTTGTCCAGTCTGGGTCATCCATGTTCAACTTGTCTTGTTGAGGGGTAGTTTGAGACAAGGTGTCTCTGTTAGTCTCAGACCTACCCAGATCCACCTGCCTCTGCCTCCTGAGTGCCAGGATGCACCGCCATGCCCAGAAAACCCCATTTTTAAATACATTGCCTGCTGGATGGTGTTTGAAAGGCTTTTGATTGTGAATGTGTGTTATGGGTCACAACAGGAAGATGTGTACTACTGTGGGCTACAGTAAGGGGATGTGAGCTCGTATCATCCGGCCAGCTCATCTCCTGACACTGGAGTCTTACTCCAGGAGTCACAAGCCTTGGGGTCTCTGCCTCCCTTGGTAGTCTTTGGCCTCCTCTTTTCATGCTGGGGTGTTGGTGAGTTCACAGATCACACTCCCCATATGTGCAGGGGACTGCGTGAATCAGTCTTCTCTTGAGCCTGAGACGTGGGTCCACACCCGTGAGCCTTCTGGACTCCGTGACTCCTAGAAAGAGAGCCTCGGGTCTGCTTTATGCATTCTTTTATTCAGGCCATTTCCTCTCTGGACTCAACCGGCACTCCTGATGTCTGTTCTCTTAGCTGCTAAGGAATGTCAGCTCACAGGCCAGTTATCCTAACACACCCTTGGACAGTGGCAACCCTGCTTGTCCACGTGGGCAAAGTGAGGCCTTGTCAGAGAATGGGGAAAATACCTGGTGGATAGAAAAAACCTTGGTCCTATTTCTGCATAGCCTTCCAGCCAAGCTTGAGCTGCTGGCTCAGCCTCTCTGGCCTCTAATGAGAATCAGTCCTGACACCTTCCTTACCAGGTGGGTGTCAAGCTTGGGCTGCTGACTCAACCCTTCTTGACTGCAGGTGATCACCAGGCAGGGGATGCAGGGTCCCTGAAAATGAATTGTCGCTGCTGTCTGCAGGAAGGTAGCCTGTGCCTGTGGGCACGATTTGCAAGGGTATGACCTGATTCTATAAAACTAATGTTTTCTCCGTGGTGAAAACATGAAATGTGGACAAATCCACAGAAACAGACACCATTTGCTAGGGAAACAGTTCCATGGGGGGTTCCTGTGCAAACGGCTCCCCTGTGATTAGCACACAGGTCGCTGGGTGGCCGAGGGGTCACGTAAAGCTGCCAGTCCACATGGTTCTGATTTCTAAAATCAGCCTGCATTACTGTACACTCCAGCCCTCAACTTTTCATTATTAATTCAGTGTTCCAGGTGAGAGAACAAAATCTGCCATGAATTTTTTGACATTTGTTTAAACTTTTCATTGTGAAATAATTTCACTTATAAAAAACCAGCAAGGGCTGGAGAGATGGCTCAGAGGTTAAGAGTACTGGCTACTCTTCCAGAGGTCCTGAGTTCAATTCCCAGCAACCACATGGTGGCTCACAGCCATCTATAATGAGATCTGGTGCCCTCTTCTGGCCTGTAGGAATATATGCAGGCAGAACTGTATAATAAATAATTTTTTAAGATCCAGCAAAATTATGTATCTTCTCTATGACATTCAGTGCCAAAGATAAGCATCTTATAACCATAACATCAACTAACATCAACAAAATGTTTCTCTTTTAAGAAAATAATTTTAGGGGGCTGGAGAGATGGCTCAGAGGTTAAGAGCAGTGACTGTTCTTCCAGAAGTCCTGAGTTAAATTCCCAGCAACCACATGGTGGCTCACAACCATCTGTAATGAAATCTTGTGTCCTCTTCTGGCCTGCAGGCATACATGCAGACAGAACACTGTAAACAAAATAAATAAGTCTTTCTTAAAAAATAATAATTTTGAAAGAAACAGCTGAGCAGTGGTGGGGCACGCCTTTAGTCCCAGCACTCTGGAGGCAGAGGCAGGCGGATCTCTGAGTTCAAGGCCAACCTAGTCTACAAGGACGGGCTCCAAAAGCTACAGAGAAACCCTGTCTCCTTAAAAAATAAATAAATAAATAAATGCATACATAAAAAGTAAAAAGGAGAAAGTAAAATCTTGAAGTCTGCATGGCGGCACATGCCTGTAGTCAGGAGGCCACCGTGGGAAGATCACTTGAGCCTAGGAGTTTGAGACCAGCCTACACACAACAGCAGATGAAACCCATTTTCTCTTTTAAAGACAAAACTATTGAGACATACTGCCCTCTGCTTCAGGGGCTCTCTTGAGGTTCCTCTCCTTGCCCCCTTTGCCTTCGTGGACCCCACATTCTATTGTTTGTCTCTGCACCCCATTTCCAGCAGTTCCTCACTCTTAAATTTGTCATGATCTACATTGTTTTAATTGAGGATAAATTCATATAATGTAATATGAATCATTTTAAGTGTGTAGTGATCCTGTGACATCGAATTCAGAATAAACCAGTGCAGGCTGGACCAGGTGCTCTGCAGAAGCTTTGGTTGGGCTGTGGTTTGGGGCAGGAATGGCACTGGGGTGTTTTATCTGTGGTTCTCTGTAACTGGGGACACTTGCCACTGATCCACTTCAGTCTTGGCAGTTCTGACTTTGATCATTGTGCTAAATCCGTCTCTGTAATATCCACTGCTGCAAAACGCCCGTTAGCTCCTCTGGTGATGGATGTCTCATGAAGAGAGAATGAGCTCAGATTCCTATCATCTGTCCTCTTCCTCCCAAGTGCTAGGGTTAAGGGTGTGTGGCACCACACCTGCTGAGATCAGATTCTGGAACTAATCTGAGGTGGCATGGGGAGAGTTGGTATAGGATACGGTCAGATGTCCGCATAACAAAGACGGTGTCTGTGGGAAGAGTGGCAGGGTTGGTATAGGATAGGGTCAGATGTCCGCATAACAAAGGTGGTGTCCAATATGCCAGTTATGGGGGAAGATTGCATGGAAGAGAAGATGTAGAACTAGGAACATAGAGGTCTTGGATGGAGGAAGAGGGTCTTGAGTCATATGAATGAGCACATCATGTCTGTCGGGAAAACTCAGTGAACTCCCTTGTTTTCCAGCAGAGGCTACACTGGGGTCTCAGAGCCTCTGTAGGGATGTTATGGGTCTAGAGACTTGTTCTGGCTGTATCTGTAACAATTCTGGGCTTTTTCCTACCCGTCACCCTCTTTCTGTGGCCTGGTGGCCGAGTTACAGCCAGCATCCTCAGCAGGTGAGTAGTCAGCCCGGGAGAAGCCATGGGGAGCCCACTGCATGAGCAGGCCTGACAAACCCTCACAACCTACAGTGGCCTTTGCACCTTCCGGTGCCCGCTGCATGTGGCATCTACTGCTTCCCCTTGCATGTTTGTGTCCTGTGCCGTGTCCTCAGCCCTCAGCCTTCCTGGTGTCAAGCTTGCTGGTCCTATCTTAGTGGTTTCGTCAGACGAACAGGAGCCAGGGTATCCTTGGTCACTTGGTGTCCAGCAGCCGACCTCTGCCTTTGGAGGAAGGGGTCAGGGAGTCAGTGGGTGGCTCCACAGCTTCTACTCTGCCCTGCAGCCCTATGGGGCTTCCAGGGTGGCCTGGGCCACAGCAAGCTGTGGCATATCAGACGCCCCATGCCCTGCTCTGCCAAGACAAGTCACACCACACTGACCTCTCGCCCCATTCCCCTCCAGGGTATTGAACGCCTCCAACGCAAGACGCAGCCCAGGGAGCACTCGGGCAGCTGGAAGTCGGTCCAGGAGGCTTTTGGTGGGGACTTCTCCCTGAACTGGTTCAACCCTTTCACCAGACCTTGTCAACCCGTGATACCCATTGACAAGGGCTTGGTCCGGCAAGTGTCGTCTCTATCAGACATGGACAATATGGAGACCTCTGAGAGCCAATTGGAGGAGACAAAAGACAGGGACTCTGTGGAGGTGCTGGATGAATAGAGGCTGCCAAGAATAATACACCAACAGCAGCTGCTGGCCCGATTGCACCCCCAGCTCCCAGGGCTCGTTCAGGCATTCCCGTGGGGTTACCAACTCTCTCAGGGTGGGGTGTGAGTAGAGAAGAGTAGGGACTTTCTCTGAGTTCCTCTTAGCAGCGTGTGCCAAAAGGGGTGGTTAGGGACCATTCTCCAGGCCTGGGAAGACTGCCTAGTCTCTGCCCAGCAAGGGAAATGATGACCAGAATGTCCTGAGGGCGGGGGAGCCACTTCTTCTTAAGGGCTGTCTTGGGGACGCCGAGGGCCTTGGGAAAGGATACTGACATCAGGGATGACCAATCTGAAAGGCCAGAGAGACTAGCCATTCCTGGGGAAGGGATTCCTTGTCTGGCTACTGAACCTGCCCCTTGGGGCTTGAGCTTGGGCTTGGTTGAAAGAGCACCCCACCCACTTGCATGCATGCACATGTGCAGAACCTGTGCAGAAGGAAATGAGCCTGAGTTATGACAGTCACCCAAAAGTAGTTCCCATCCTATAGATAACTAGACTCCTCTCTGAGACAACAATGGAGCCAGTCTTTCTGTGGCCACAAGTTTGCATTCATGTATTGGGCTTCTGGAGAAAGTCTAGTAAGACACGGGGACAGGTACACCCAGAAATGGTTACCCCTGCGTTTTAGAATAGTTCCCAGGATGGTGCCTCCGACAGCTGTATGGCTGGACATGAGGCACATGCCTTTATTCCAGCGTTTGGGGCAGGCAGCTTAGCCTAGGCTGCAGAGCTCCAGGCTACATAGAGAAACCCCATGTTAAAAACAACAGAAAACGCCGGGCGATGGTGGCGCACACCTTTAATCCCAGCACTCGGGAGGCAGAGGCAGGTGGATCTCTGTGAGTTCGAGACCAGCCTGGTCTACAGAGCTAGTTCCAGGACAGGCTCCAAAGCCACAGAGAAACCCTGTCTCGGGAAAAACAAACAGAAAACTGCATGGTGGCTAGGGCATGCAGACTGCTGGCTGCCTGGGTCTGGGCCCCCTGCACTCCCCAGTCTCTTGTCATGGTTGTGGAAGCAGCAGCTTTTGCATCTAAACAGATAGTTTCAAGAAGCACACCAGCTCCCCGACTCTGACCTTGAACCATTCCCAAGTGTTGCCTGCTCCAACCCCGGCGGAGGATTCTGTATTACATCCCTTCTTCCATGTCCTAGACCAAAGGAACCTGTGGCCTTATGCATGAGTCAGGTTTTTCAGTTGTTTTGTTTTGTTTTGTTTTGTTTTGAGACAGCGTTTTTCTGTAGCTTTGGAGGCTGTCCTGAAACTAGCTCTTGTAGACCAGGCCGGCCTCGAAATCACAGACATTTGCCTGCCTCTGCCTCCCCAGTGCTGGGATTAAAGGCAAGCGCCACCACTGCCTGACAGAGTCAGTTTTATTTGAGGACACTGAGAAAGAAAGGCTGTGGGAGGCCGAGGGTAGTCCCTGGAGGGTGGAGTTCTGTCAGATCCTACGGTTCACCCCACAGAGTAGCAGCAGGGATCCAGCATTAACAACTGTGCCCTACCCCACCCCGCTGCAGGTGCATCTCTTCTGAGCAGATGTGTTTTAACGTTTATCTGTACTAACATCCTAGCCCAAGTTGGCTTTACTGCTGATACTGTTTGAAGAGAGTGGTCCTCTGGCTGCAGGAGCCCTAGCCCCTGGATGACCTATCAGAGACTCCACACCAAGGAGAAAGAAGGGCTAATGACTGGGTCCCCAATAAGCAGCAGTTTTAAAAAGGAAGGAGCTTTAGAGTCAGTGTCTGTGCTGAGTCCAGGACCTCAAGGATGTCCATGCACACTGGGGCTAAAGCCAGCTTGACTAGCAGCACAGCTTCCTCCCAGCCCCACAGCCATCGGTTTCCAGAGTACTCCCCTAGAAGAGTTGAGGTGGGCAGGCATCTGCTCCCACAGGTTTAGAGCTAGCTCCTCCTCCTTCCTCAGCAAACCCACTATCGTGTTAGGGCCTCAGCTGCATCTCTCTCAGGAGAGATGGACAGCCAGGATCATGTAGGCAGCAGTCTGCTCAGTCTTGAGTCTTGTGCCTTCCCACTAGGACAGACACAGTGGCCTTCTCTCCTTGGTGATTCCTGAGAGTCTGCTCAGTAGTGCAGCTGAGAAGAAGAGGCCCAGTGTTTCTGGGAGGGAGACGGGCTACACACCTGCCTCTCGTCTGAATAAAAGCTCCCTGATCTACCTCTGTAGTTAGAGGTGCCTGTTTTTAGCAACCTAAAGCCCTAGACAGCATCCTTCCTCTCAGGCTCAACAAGTGTCATACAGACATTAACAGTGGCTTCATGGGGTTACTAACTGGTCACCCCACAAGTACATGCCAGACACCTGCTGCATCCCAGGGAGGTGGACAGATAAGCAGAAGGAATCAGGACTGAGGTTTTCTAGTTCTGAACAAATGAAGGTGAGATGCTGACAGTGCTCTGGCTAGTTTTCTGTCAGCTTGGCACAGGCTAAAGTCAATTGAGGAAATGCCTCCGTAAGATTGGCCTATAAGTGCGGTGGTGATGCGCGGTTTTTTTTTCTCATCCCAGCACTTGGGAGGAAGAGGCAGGGTGATCTCAGTGAGACCGAGACCAGTTTGGTCTACAAAGCGAGTTCCAGGACAGCTAGGACTGTTAAACAGAGAAACCCTCTCAAACAAAATGACCTGTAAGCAAGTATGTAATTTATTTTCTTGATTGATGACTGATGTAGGAGGCCTGGCCCGTTGTGAGTGCTGCCACTCTGGTGATATTTTGTTTGTGCTCTAACAAATAAAGCTCGCCTGGAGATCAGAATGCCGAGCCAGCCGCTAGTTAACCATAGAGGCCAGGCAGTGGAGGCACACGACTTTACTCCCAGCACCAGGGTGGAGGAAACAGGAAGTGATATGGCTGCTTAGAGAGAGATGCTCAGCCCCTTTGGGTATGACGTGGCTGTCTCCGGCTTGCTCCTTTGTCTCTCTGATCTTTCAACATATACCCCCGTATCTGACCCTGGGTTTTTATTATTAAGACCAACTAGAATTCACTACACCACCCCTGGGCTGGTGTATGAAACAACAGATGGGCAAACCTTGAGGAGCAAGCCAGTAAGCAGCACTGTTCTGGCCTCCAGGCTCCTGCCCTGACTCTGCCCTCAGAAACTGAACGCTCCCTGAAGTTAGATGGCATCAGCTCTCTCCTCCCCAGGTTGCATTTGGTCACCGTGTTTTATCAGACAAAGTGTCCTCGGAATACACAAATACCCCTCATTCGGTCTACTGTGCCTCTCTGGAGTATATGTCCACTTAGAAACTGTAGCCCTTGACCGAGGCTGGCCATCGTGAAGACAGCCCAGACCAAGGAGGTCAATGTGAAGTTCAGAGGCAGTGACTCCCCCAGGTTTGTTAAGCAGCATGCTGACATAACAGGAAAATTCACTCAGGAGAACACAGCCATCTTAAAGTCAGCAGTTTAATTCAAAGCATAGTGATCATTGAGAAGATCCCTGGAGGGCAGAGCAGAACACAGACTCCAGTGAGCAGAGCAGATGTTACCAGTGGTCATAGACTCCTCCTCGGAGGGGATGCAGGCTGTGGGGTCTCCTCCCCTGTCCCACCCAGAGGCAAGAGGGCCTCACGCCAGCGTGGGCCTGCTTCTGAGAGGACAGAGCCTTGGGATGAGCATGTTGTGCCAGGACCAGCTCCAGGATGCTTTCCTGCAGGGGTCTCAGCTCACCTCTAGGCACCCCTGGACCTGACAGAATCCGATGCCCAAATGGAAGATGCCTCCAGCACTTCAGCCGCACTGAATAGCAGCTCTGGGTTCTGTCTATGGGTCTAAACCCAGACGACAGTTGCTGTCTTCTGAGGCCGTGACTCCTCAATGTGTGTTTGAGATGTCTGTGATGTATACTCAGAGCTGCAGAGAGGTGCCCTGGTCCCATGGAGCTACTGCCTGAGGTTACACTGGCCCTTGAGCTCTGTCTTTTGCTGGGCTGGCTCTTGAATCTGCCCTCCTGAGTAATTAAATCCAATCATCCCTGACCTGAACACTAAGTACAATTTAGGAAATGGTAACATGCTTAGCAGAGGCTCAGAGCCAATCAGGGCTCTTGCCTCCATCTCCATGGTCTCAGCTGGGCTACTTGGTGATGAGAATGATCTTCTCGGCATGAACCTCCTTCACTTGTCTGGAAGTAAACTTGACAATAAATTTCTTGGGTCCACTTTTCACTGGGGTGCACTTCATTTGGAAAGTGATGGACTGTCCAGGTGGCACTGTCCTAGAAAATTCAAATGCACACAGAATCAGCAAAGTTGCCACAGAAGAAAAGTGCATTGCATGAAAAACCAGGCATCTGGTTCCGGGACAGCTCTTGGAAAAGCACAGTGATGCTCCGGAGCCCAGTAAAGCAGGCCTCCACCTGGAGTGTAGCCATTTGTCTCAGCTGCCAGACAGACGGCTGGCTGGAATGGCTGCTCTCCAGTCACAAACCCTCCTGGGCGTCCTCAGGAACACAGTTCCTGGTGGATCTACAAGGTGTTCTCTAACCCTAGGGACTCAAGATGGCATTACCTGAGAGTGTGTTGGACTCAGAGCCCCCCCTCACCCGAACTGCTGAACTGATCTGTTCTTTAACAACGTTTCCGGGTGATCTGTGTGTCTGTGAAAGGTTAGGAAACCCTCGTCTCAGAATAACAATGTTCCCGGGTGATCTGTGTGTCTGTGAAGGGTTAGGAAACCCTAGTCTCAGAATAACAGGAGACTGCTGGGATTTACCTGGGAGATCTAGACACTTGGTGAGAAACAGACCAGAGGAATCTTTGAGTTAAAATCCTGTACTGGGTATGTCGGCAAACCAAGAACAATATCTAGTTCCTCAGACAGAAAACAGTGAGAAGCATCCCCTGCACCAGGCAACAAAGGCTCCAACTAGGAGTGTGCCCCTTACAAAGAGGACACGTGGATGCGTGGGAACTTAGCCTACATCCCGGCAAGGCCGTTTGTTTGGCACAGCACGGTTCCGGTTTAAATCCCAAATCAAGGTGATTCAAATGTCCTATGTTAGAGAAACAGAAGAAAGCTGCCTTCCATACAGCACTGCACACTTCCCAGTACAGCCATTCAAACAGCACAGCATCACTGACAGACACCTGACGCAATCCAGAAACTGAGGTATATGTGGGGATTACCTGTGTTGTTGACATTTCATTGATAAATTATTTGGCAAAATTGGGGCTCTGGATTATTCTACCCCAAAATTCCCAAAATTAATATTCACAGTAATAATTATGTAAATAGAGCCATAAATTGCAGGAAATTTATACTATTTCTCTTTTTTGTTTGGTTGATTTTTTCACTTTTTTTTATTTATTTTTACTTAAAAATTTCCACCTCCTCCTCTCCTCCCATTTCCCTCCCCCTCCCCGATTTTTTTTTTTTTTGAGACAGAGTTTCTCTGTGTAACCCTGGCTATCCTGGAATTAGCTCCATAGACCTGGCTGGCCTCAAACACAGAGATCTGCCTGCCTCTGCCTCCTGAGTGCTGGGATTAAAGGTGTGCACCACCACCACCTGCAACTATTCCTATATTCTTGTTTATGACATGAAATTCAGTATCCACAGAGAGGATTAACAAAGGCATGTTAGAACTTTAAACAGCCTAGGCTGGGGAATATAGTTCTACAGGAGAGCACTTGTCTTTCATGCACAAGGCCTACGCTCAGTTTCCAGGACAGCACCTTAGCAAACAAGACCGTGCAGAGGTGGTGCATGCCTTTAATCCCAGCACAGGAGGCAGAGGCAAATGCATCTCTGTGGGTTCAAGGCCAGCTTGGCCAATATAGTGAATTTTAAGCTAGCTAGGGCCATAGAGTGAGACTGTCTCAAGATAAATAACCTCCTACAAGCTAATTACATCGCTATTCCTCCTGAGTAAAGGCTGCACTCGGGTTAATAAGAAAAGTAATGACTCCCTAGGGGTAAACAGGCAAAGGAAACAAATAAATTACAGCAGAGACTTAAGACAAGGGGATGCTTTGACATTTCTGTAGAACATTCAGATTGACAAGAAGCAGAAGGGCCTACCACTGGCAGAACACTAGTGTGGTCTTTTCTGTGATTTGGTACCAGCAATGTGTGTCTGCATTTTTACTGAATCTCATGCTGAAAGTTTATGTCTCCGGAGGATGGTACATGTGAGAGACCCATGTACAGCGTCTGTACCATGAGAACAATTTGGGTGGACTCACCCTTGATCCCAGGACTGCATGTTCGAGAGGGCCAGGCTTTCCACGGAGAACCTGATGTTAGTCAGAGGGATGGGCAGGGTGTTCTTGAAGGTGCAGGTGATGAGAAGTGGCCAGTTGACCTTGCCCGTGTCCGGCATCTGTTAAGAGTGGGGAGTGGAGGAAAGGCAGGCGTGACGAGCTGCAGATGAGAGCTTAGATGGCAGCTAGAGTGTCAGTAGGTCTGTGCTCCCTTGGAAGGCTCTTGTGGAGAACCTCTGAGATTCCATGTATTTGCATATGTTTACCTCTTTAGTTTTGAAGGAACTCGAGGTACATAGTTCATGGTAGCCAGAGGTCCTGGTGTGAGCTACATCCTGATCTCATCCAGCTAATCAGGAAGCCCCTTTGCCCAGGCTCAGGGGCTGAACAGCTGCTAGAGCCCCAAGCTATGGCATGGACATTGGTCCTCCCTCGCCAGTGACCCAAAATTCCAAGTTGCCTCACAGGACAGCCCGGAGAAACACATCCTAAAACAGGCTGTGTTCATCCTTCAGAATCTGTTCCGCCCCTCATTTGTCCAAAGCCAGAACACTTGGAACTCACGCGTGTCCTGCCATACTGTTCTGGCTGGACCCTCTCCCTCAGAGCCCCATCTCCCCTGCCCAGGGTTTGGTCTCCTTCAGATGCCCAGGGTTCCAGAAGCAGTGCCTGCTCCCCACTCAAACCATGTGCTAGCTACATCCAATCACAGTATAGATGTACTAACTAGAATTTTAGTTCCTCCTATCACAGTATAGATGTACTAACTAGAATTTTAGTAAAGGAAAGTAGAGTGCCCACTTCTAGGACATCTGAAGCTCCGACCACACATGCCTGGCTCCAGAGACAAGTGTTCTCTGATGCCTACAGATACCTGTGGAGCCACCTCTGGAGGAGGATGGGAGTGAGACCCCCAAGAAAAACCTATTTTAATTATGTTATCTGTATGAATGTTTTGGTTACATGTATGTATTGCACCATATGCATACCTAGTACCCACAGAAGTCAGAAGAAGGCATCAGATTCCCTTAGACTGCAGTTAAAGGTGGCTGTGAACCATTATGTATGTGATGGAAACTGAACCTGGTTCCTCTGTAACAATGCTCTTAACCTGAGTCATTGCTCCAGCCCCTCATTTCGGGGGAGGGTTTGAGACAGGGTTTCTCTATGTAGCCCTGGCTGTCCTGGAACTTGCTCTGTAGACCAGGCTGGCCTCAAACAGAGATCCACCTGCCTCTGCCTCCCGAGTGCTGCAATTAAAGGTGTGCGCCACCACCGCCCAGCTAGAAATTCTGGATGATTGGGCCATGGTGAATGGGCTGAACCTGCTTCCAAGCAGAGTGGATCCCGGGAAGCATGCGGTTCTGCTTCACTGAGCGGGGGCCAGGCCTGAGCCCCACCGCGGCCAAGGATGAGTCTCTGACTCAACCACACTGCCACAGAAATGTCAAAACAGTCTCCAGAGGTGGCCACATCCTCGGCCTGAGAAATCCCAAGGGAGGTACCCTGCTGAGCTATAAACATGATGAATCCTAGGAGAGGCCAGGGCCACCAGGGAATCACTCTGGGATGATGGGATTTCATCTGTGTTTTAATAGATAAAGCTTGCCTGAAGACCAGAGAGTAAAACAGTCCCACTGGTCAGCCTTACAGACCAGGAAGTGGTGACACACACCTTCAATCCCAGTAGCCATATTAGTTTGCCATAGAAACCAGGTGGTTGTGGTGCATGCCTTTAATCCTAGCGCTAGAGAGGAGTATAAAACAGGAGGAGACAGCTCTCAGATAGTCTTGTTCTGAGGAGGATTCCTGGAGGCAGTTTGGACTGAGGTAGAGGTAAGAGCCAGTGGTTGGCGGTTTTGCTTTTTGGTCTTCAGGCAAGCTTTATTTATTAAATACAAATAAAATATCACTATGGAGAGCCTCTTATGTAAACTGCCTTTGACTCCCACTTGCCTGGGAGTTGGTCTGGCACCAGCTTTATCGCACCCCACACTGGGGGTGGGCCCATGGCAAGACTTGTACTTCACTTAGACACGCAAGAAGCTGATGGCAGGGATCGCTTCTGGTAAAGGAGCTGAGCATCTGAGGAGGACGGGAAGAAATTTTTATCGTGCCAACTGCATCTTTAGAATTTTGTGCTGTTAACAGGTAGTCCTCATTTTTAAAAAGTTTAAATCCAGTTAGCCAAAAACAGAGAAAAGAAGTTGCTTGACACATCCCTTCTCAGAAATGCCTGTGTGGAAAACGATGTACCGTTTTCCTTAGGGATGCAGTTGGCGCAGTGGTCAGTCAATCGGGACCACAAAGGCCCTGAGCTCTGCCCCTTCCCTGGCCTGCAGGCAACTCACCTCAACAGAGAAGGCGGGGTACAGGAACGACAGGGTCGTGTCGGTGGCCACCTTGTCGCCAGTCTCCACTATTTCTGTGATGATGAACCCTTTGATGACCACCTCATCATCAACCATGCCCAGTTTGTAGATGTAGGAGTTAGCATCCATGCTGAGAACCACCTCTGATTCTGTGAAAGAGCAGGGAAGAGAGGAGAGGTGAGTTCTTGGCAAACATAGGGTTAGATTAACTCAGGACAGAGCCGCTTGGCCTTAGAGGAGTCCTGACCTCTCTTTGGAGAGCCTGCATCTAGGGATCAAATGGACTTGATGATTTACTGAGATCTCCAGGCCCATTCTGGGCCCCCATTGTCAGGATAGTCTGTTCACACTGAGGTTACCACAGCCCACTGATAGAATAGTAATTCCAAAAAAAACTCTACTGTTGCAGAGACTTGGTGACACCATTAGCACCCTTAACGTGTGGCTGTGTGCTAGCCCCAGACTCCTGGCGCTCTGATCTATGTGTGCTAGCCCCAGACTCCTGGCGCTCACTCTGATCTATGTGTGCTAGACCCTAGACTCCCAGCGCTCACTCTGATCTATGTGTGCTAGACCCCAGACTCCTGGCGCTCTGACCTATGTGTGCTAGACCCCAGACTCCCGGCGCTCACTCTGATCTATGTGGCCCATTTTTTCTACTATGGCAGGATTCCTTATCACCACCAAATGTAGTGCTCAATAGATGCTGTGTCTGTTCAAACATAAGAGTATGGGAGTAATCACAGAGAAGAAAGAGACATGAGATGACGGGGATCCTGGTCTCTCTGGGGCCCGAGGCTCTGGTACCTTGACCTTGGATCTGCACCGTCCTCTGGATGATTCCCAGGTTTGTCTTCTGGCTGCCTGTATATGTCTGTAGGTCGAGGGAGCACGAAATGTTGACATTCTGTGGTATGGCCGTTTTCCTTTTCAACACTAGGGTCAAAGTGACAGGATAGCCTAGCTCCACCGAATTCTGGAGGACATGGATCTGAAGCATGCTGTTCACTGGCCGACGGCCGGGTTTGTCCTCATCCGGGTGCTTACGGGCGGCCTTTTCCATGGCCTTCCTCTCTTCTGGGGAGCCTGCAGAGACACGGAACATTTCCTGAGGACACCTCTCTAAGGGAACCGAATGTCTGAGCACACCCTTGGGGGCTGAGAGAGCTTTCCCTTGTTCCGGTTTGAATTGTTTTATCAACTTGACACAAGCCAGAGTCAAGAGGGGACTTCAGTTGAGACAATGGCTCCATCTCATTGGCCCATGGACAAGTCTGTGAGGCATTTTATTAATTAATGACTGATTTAGAAAGATCTATTCCACTGTAGGTTTAAAACCTCTGGGAAAACAGACCTGGGTTGTATAAGAAAAGTTGAGTAAGACACGAGAAGCGAACCAGTAAGATGTGTTCCTCCGTGACTTCTGTGTCAGTAGGTGCCTCGAGTCCCTGCCTTGGCTTCTCTCAGTGGACTGCTATGCAGCATATATAAACCAAAATAAACCCTTTCCTTTCTAAGTTCTTTAGATTGCTATGATCTTTATCACAGCAATAGAAACAGAATTTGGTACCAGGAGTGGGGTATTACTGTGACAATCATGACCATGTCGTTTTGGGGAAGGTTATGGGAGGACTTGGGACATTGGTCTGGAAAAGCTGTTGAGTGTTCAAAGGCCAGTGGGTACTGTTCTGTGGGAGCTGGGAAAATACAAATGTTGAGAGCAGTGGAGACAATGGAATCCTGGCTTGAAAAGTTTCAAGAGAATCTTGAGAGTCCCTTAAAGAATCTATGAGCGCCATCTGTATGATACATTTGAACTAAGACTCTGTGGTATCTGGCCAGCTGGAGTTGAAGAATCAGCTGTGCACTTGAGAGGAAAAGGCAGGCAGATCTCTTTGAGGGTAGCCTGGTGTATACAGAAAGTTCTAGCCCAGACCCTGTTTCACACACCCAAAAGAAAGGGCAGCTGATAATCAAGAAACCAGCACCACTAGAGTGTTGAGGAATCAGATTTCATGAAGAGACCAGCATCACTAAGGTAAAATCTTCTGGGAGAATTTCCTCCTCGTCAGCACCCAGGAACTGTGGTTTAGAAAGGGCTAAGGCTGCAACCTCATGCTAGCTGCTTAACTTGGTAGTGTATGCTTCCCAGGTGGTGCTGGTTTTAAAGGCATGAAGATATCATGGGTGTCACCTGAAGCATGGCACTGTGAGACCCAGCATATCGGAAATATAAAGACCATGGAATGACCACCAAGGGCAGAGGCAGGTGTGGCATGGACCTAACTTGAGCTTAGGAGACGAGATATTTGTGCTGCAGGTGGCAGAACCCCAAAAGCGGAGCCGGGGGCCCCTTGGGAGTCCAGAGGACCGGGAGTCGGTCTCAGATGTAAAGCACTGGGCATTTCGCACTGAATGTTTAATTTTGTGTTTGATTGGATTTGACTGTAACTATGCTCTGGGTCTCCCCTCTTGGAATAAGAAATATGTAACTCATGTTTTTATTTTACAGGAGCCCACAGTTAAGAGACTTTGGATATCTTAAAGAGACTGAATTTTAAAAGACTTTGGGACTTTTAGAATGTTTTTATATTGTGATATTGATATTAATATAAGATCTTAGGGATAAGCAAGACAGGAAAGGGTATTGTTTCATACTCTTGTATTTCTGTGTCAAGTTGACAAGGAGTCAGTTGTCCTGGTTAGATATTTTTGTAAACTTGACACAAAGCAGGTTCATCTGCGAAGAGAGAACTTCAGTTGAGAAAATGCTTCCATTTGATCAGCCCATAGGCATTTTTTTTTTTTTTTTTGGTTTTTCGAGACAGGGTTTCTCTGTGGTTTTGGAGCCTGTCCTGGAACTAGCTCTTGTAGACCAGGCTGGCCTCGAACTCACAGAGATCCGCCTGCCTCTGCCTCCCGAGTGCTGGGATTAAAGGCGTGCGCCACCACCGCCCGGCTACATAGGCATTTTCTTGATAATGATCAATGTGGGAGGGGCCTGTACCACTGTGGATCTGACACCCCAGCAGGTGTGTCTGGGTTGTATAAGAAAGCAGGTTGAGTAAGACGTGAGGAACAGTCAGCAGTCTTCCTCTGTGGCTTCTGACTCAGTTCCTGCCTTGAATTCCTGCTTTGGGTTCCTTCAATGGACTATGACCTGGGATGAGCAAGCCAAATAAACCCTTTCCTTTGCAAGTTTTTTTTCTTTCTTTTTTTTTTTTTTTTGTTTGTTTGTTTTTCAAAACAGGGTTTCTCTGTGTAACAGCCCGGGCTGTCCTGGAACTAGCTCTTGTAGACCATACTGGCTTCGAACTCACAGAGCTCTGCCTGCCTCTGCCTTCCCAGTGCTGGAATTAAAGGTGTGCGCCACCACTGCCTGGCCCAAGCTGCTTTCCATCATGGTCTTTATCACATCAACAGAAACCAAACTAAGACACCCACTGACTAGGACTATGGAGGCTCCCAGAAGCTACGGATTCACACTGAGAACTACCCAAGGCCGCATGCTGGGGACTTGTCTTAAGTGGTTGGCAGCAGGAAGACCAGAGCACCCTAGTCTCCTCAAAAGCTGTGGGAACACAAACAACGAGTTACTCCTCCTCCAACCTACCTAGGAATCTTGACATCAAACTAAGGATAATTTAATCACAATAACACACTGAGCCAGGCATAGTGACTCATACCTGTAATCCCAGCAGCACTTGGAAAACTGAGGCAGGAGAATTGCCATGACTTCAAGCCAGCCTGGACAACAGAGTGAGTTGGAGGAATTCAGAAGGCATGAGGTGATCCTATTGCCTCCCCCTCTTCCCAGACCCTTGGTCACCTGGAAAACCAGCAGTGCTGGTCACAGTGAAGTCAGAAGCCTCTTTCGGTCTGGAGCATACCTACAACCTCATCACATGGACTTTATGCTCCTCTGACTTCCATGACAGCTCCCTGGAAATGTCCACTCATAGAGCTCACCGTTACTTGAGCAGACTCGGCTCACAACCAACAGACTCTTTCCTGGTGTGCTTATTTGAAAGACAGTTTTACAAACCTGAAGAGAAGCTAGGGAAGGGAAAAGACAAGCAAGCTGTGCCTCTCATCTTGAGGATCTGTGCAAGTGAGGCTGAAGAGCAGCACCAAGTCCTGCAGATGGGCACAGCCCCCAAGTGGGCACAGCCCCCGAGTGGACACAGTCCCCGAGTGGGCACAGTCCCTGTGTGGGCACAACCTGAGTGGGCACAGCCCCTGCGTGGGCACAGCCTGAGCGGGCACAGCCCCCGAGTGGGCACAGCACCTGCGTGGGCATAGCCCCCGAGTGGACACAACCTGAGTGGGCATGGCCCCTGAGTGGGTACAGCCCCCAAGTGGGCACAGCCCGAGTGGGCACAGTCCCCGAGTGGGCACAGTCCCCAAGTGGACACAGCCCCTGTGTGGGCACAACCTGAGTGGGCACAGCCCCTGCGTGGGCACAACCTGAGTGGGCACAGCCCCCCAAGTGGACACAGCCCCTGCGTGGGCACAACCTGAGTGGGCACAGCCCCTGCGTGGGCACAACCTGAGTGGGCACAGTCCCCAAGTGGGCACAGCCCCTGTGTGGGCACAACCTGAGTGGGCACAGCCCCTGCGTGGGCACAACCTGAGTGGGCACAGCCTGAGTGGGCACAGCCCCCAAGTGGACACAGCCTGAGCGGGCACAGCCCCCGAGTGGGCACAGCCCCCAAGTGGGCACAGCACCAAGTCCTGCAGAAGGGCACAGCCCCCAAGTGGGCACAGCCCCTGCGTGGACACAGCTCCGCAGCCAAGGCGAGTTTGTGTAGGTATCCCAGACGACCAAGGCTGTAGCACACTGATCCCCAGCTGCTCATGAGGTGAATAGGAGGAGAAGTCAGAGGCTTCCCAAGATGAAAGAGGTCTTCAGGGAGACAATGCACAGCACACATAGGGACGGCAAACAAGATCTGGTCTCCAGACTGCCATGGTGTATCCTCCAAGCTTATCACTTTTAGCAAGAAATGCCCTCCACCCAAAGGAAAACCAGGCCCTGCAGAAGCCTGATTTGGAACTTACTAGAGAAAAACTATTTCTCTATTTTAAATATAGTCAGGGGGGCTACTCCAAGTTTGGTGACCTGAGTTCAATCCTCAGGACTCACATGGCGGAATGTCCTCTGACTTCCACAGGCACACTGTGGTGTGCTCACACACACATGCACACCACATACACAAAGTTAAATAAGTGCAAAACCATTGTAGATATATTCAAGGAACTGAAGGGACAGAGAGTACAGCAGTAGCTCACCAAGCAGAGACTATCAATACAGAACATGTAATAGTCTAAGTCACTAACAGCTTAGAGGCTACACAGGAAACCATCAGAGTTGAGGTTAGGGTCATGTAATTATCCAGGCTTCAAGGCAGAAGGAAAAGGTACAAGGAAAAAGCAACAGTACACTGAACTCTCTCTCTCCCTCTCCGAGGCAGCCCTCGCTCTGATTGTTTCTTTCTTAAATCTCCTACTAGGACAGTGAGAAGGCTCGGAGGACAAGGGCACTTGCCTCCAAGCCTGACAGCCTGTTTACAGAGGGCAGACACTGTCCTGGGTCTGGGATGGACAGGAAGACCTGGCGTCCTGCAGACTCCTCCCTCCTGTCACACTACAGTGAGCTGCTCCTGCCTTCTTTACACCGACCACCCTTCCCCTCTTTCTTCTTGCCTGCCCGCCACCCTCTCTGAGGCCTCACACTCACTGTGCTGCGAATGATGACCTTAAACTTCTGCTACCACTGCCTTGACCTCTTCATGGCTGGGACTACGGCATGCGTTAGTGCACCTTGTTTTCATAGAACCACATCACCATCTGAGCCGCATGCATCCTGCAGGGAATCGGGGCGGGGCTGCCCACAGGTGTGGATGGCTGTCTCGCTGCCCACAAGCACCCTGCCGCCACAGCCGTCATGGACATGCAAACAGGCCCTATGTGAGCCCAGCAAGGCCAGACACAGGAGGAGCTACTGTCTCGGGACAACCTCTGAAGCCCCATCTCTTCTCACCTCCCTCAGGCTGTGCTCTAGGGAACACCTCACCATATCTGGAGCCTCTTCCTCGAGACCACCTGTTCCCACTATTGGTGGCTGAGGAACAGAAACTGCATGTCCAGCATCAGAAACCCCATGGCATGCAGGCTATAATTCTCCAGGCAGCCTGGCTTGGTGGAATCTGGGTAGATCTACTGCACCGTGGGATAGATCCAGACACAGGAGGCCGAGACTGACTTGAGCCTGGGGTACAGTTCTGGCAGAGTGCTTGCCTAGTGTACATAAAACCCTGGTTTCCGGCTCTACTACTCTAAAAAACAAAGCCCTGGACCAGGGATGATGGCCCACACCTTTAATCCAGCACTCAAGAGGCAGAGGCAGGTGGCTCTCTGTGAGTTCAAGGCCAGTCTGGTTCTCACAGTAGGTTCCAGACCAGCCAGAGCTACATAGTGTGACTGTCTCCAAAGGAAAACAAAGTCCTGACTCAGCGCTTTGAAGATAGGTGAATCGAAGCCAATAAGAATATGAGAACATCTCTGAATTCCATGTCCTGGGCATTTTTACCCGTGGATTGTCAAGAAGATGGCCCCTCTCTAAGCTGTACTGTCTAATTTGATAGTAATAATGATAGCCTATACATAGTTTTGATGAATAAAAACAAATACAAGGATGTGCTTCACAGCTAACCAAGGAGCTCCACCTGAGGAGCTGCTCAGGCTAACGGGTAAAAGGAAAGCACCTGAGTCCAGGAGCCAGGCTGGCTCTAATTCTCTTAATGCTGAAAAGAGGCAGTCACGTGCCTCTAGCTAAAACAAAGCTTCAGGGTGTTGAAGGGACTGCGGGCTGCGTTCCTGCCACCCAGCTCCCGGCCGCCTGGCTAGCTTATGCCCCAAAATAACAACACACAAATTGTATTCTTTTAACACTGCTTGGCCCATTTCTATAAATGTGTGTAGCACCACGAGGTGCACTTACCAGGAAGATTCTAGCCTACGTCCATCCTGGGTCGGCCCTGGAGAGGATCGGCCTGACATCTGAGCTCACTTCCTCTTCCTCCCAGAATTCTATTCTGTTTACTCCACCCACCTATGTTCTAACCTATCAGGCCAAGCAGTTTCTTTATTAATTAACCAATGACCTTCCTCCATCATCAGGGTAGACCAGATGCCTTGCTAATAGTTTTAAGATAAATAACCCAGAAAACAAGCCGGAGCTCACAAGGACACATAGTGAGCTGCCTGACTCATTAGGCAGGGGTAGATCGATTGCTACTAGCTCCTCTTGCTCAGTCTGGGTGATGACCAAAGGTGAGGGTGAATTCCTTATACTCGTTTTTGCCCTCACTCTCCTGACACGAAAAATTATTGATGAGTGGGTATGTACCCTAAAGATTTAAAGTAGAACTGACTGATTCCTTTTCAATAATAAAAGTTTAGGATTGTGATTCCTTTAAGATTCCTTATAAACTGTGTGGTGGTGGCACAGGCCTTTTAATACCAGCACTCAGGAGGCAGAGGCAGGCAGATCTCTGTGAGTTCGAGGTCAGCCTGGTCTACAGAGCAAGTTCCAGGACAGGCTCCAAAGCTACAGAGAAACCCTGTCTTGAACTCCCCCATCACCACCAAAAAAGACTCCTTATAAGATTACCTTTCAAGATAAGTAATAAAGTAATTGGCCCTTTCTTTGTAATGGCAAATGCAGCCGGCCAGTAAAAGCCCTGACATGATTAGCTTGCCTGCCCACACAGTTAATCTATAACAAAGTGCTAAAAACAAATCTGCAACAAATAAATGTGCATGGGTTCTTGGGATAGTTTATTTCTCATCTGTAGTGTGAGGGATATGGAAAACATGCTGTTTTTTTCCTGTGTGTTTTGTATTCATTGTAATCATTCACTTGAAAGGCAGAAAACCACATTGTAATTCCTACATTGCCTGAAAGACTTTGTTGGGATATATAAGCTGTAGAAAAAGTATACAGCAGAAAGAACATAGAAAGAACACAAGAGAACAAGGAAGAAAGCCATCGAGATTGTGTAAGAGTGTTTCCTTCACTAAGACCCCTCAGACAGACAAGCTTAGCTTAGGCTGACTGGTTGGATTCCTTTCAAAGTCCTGTGCTGCTGGAGGCTGACCCCCCAGACAGCAGTACAGTTCCCTTACCCGAACCTCCAGGTGTGTGCCACCATACCGGGCTATATCCTGCCCTGGACTGGACAAACTGTGTGTCATGCCAAGCCTGCCCCAGGACACAGTCACCCTCATCTCACCCAGCTTGGGGTACCGTCACATTCTTGCCAAAGCGCACATGGTCGGGCTGTTGTGACAGGAACCCTATGGCCAACGATGCCCTAGATTTCTCCCCTCAAGTCCCTGCGCAGCTACCTTCCGGGAACTTGTACTGCAAGGTGATATCTTCGCGCTTGTTCTCGCCCACCATCTTGGTGCTGATGTTCTTGCCGATGCTCGCAGTCTCCACGGCGATAAGGACGTTCTTCTCCCTGCCTTGGTGCTGCTTCACCAGCCAGATGAACTTGTCACCGTTGACCTCGGTGAAGACAAACTTGGTGTCGTACTGGATTTCGACCTTCCCCTGGCGGATGGCGCTCAGCGGAGATGGCCCAGTGCGGAAGCCTCCTGAGGGGAAGGAAGAGAGGGTGGTTGCTGGGGTCTGTCCCCTAAGTCCATCACAGCAAGAGTAAGAAATCCCACCCACTCAGGGAGGAGACAGGGGCTTCCCAGGCAGCCTGACTGCTATCTACCACTAAGAATGTCCAGGAATTCCCAGGTCCAGAGGGAGGGAGCCATGTCTCTATTTCCATTCATCCCAGAACATTGCCTGTTTCTGTATGGCCCCTGTACCTTCATTTCCTGGATATTGGGTATAAAGGTAGTACTGACCTCATAAAGTCATCAAACATCAAAAATCAAACAAAGCAGTATACAAAGGCACTTCCCCTCACCAGCCGTCACTACTGACCTGAACTGATAATGCTGCCTTCTAGCTCTGACATAGGAGCAGAGAAGTCTCCTTGACCATCACTAACAACTTAGGAAGCATTAGTCTTTCAGCTTTTCATTGTACAGATTGGTTTGATTTTGCACTGTTACTCTCAACACTGGTCTTGCCGTTTCCTTGTTTTATTTAAACCTTCAATGCACACGACTCCTCCCCTAGCCTCTCAAAAGCAGCCAACCCTGCAATTCAGTGTAGTGAGCTAAGACTCAGAACAGCGCTTCTATCTAACACTCTTGCTTCTAATATGCAGAGGGCATTCACACTCTGCCATCACCTTATCTACAGTGGGAATGGATAGGTGGTCTTCTAAAGCCCTTTCCACCTGGGCACAAGGCTTCTGCTACCTCCCAGGTAGGTGGCGACTGTGGGCTGCTCGCAGCTCAGTTGCAGGCGACTATAACCTGCACACAGCCCAGTTGCAAGGCTACCGTCCCCACCCTGGCAGAGACAACTGGGACCCCAGAGAAAGGACCCCTTGCTGAGCACCTTTCAGCACAGGCGGTGTGGGGAGGTGAGGAACAGCAGAACTCTGGAGGCCCCTGGCTGGTGCCATCAGGAGCTGTGAGGCTGTGACCCTGCCTTAGGGAGCCTTTGGGACACGCTGGTTGGAATAATACAGGCACCAAAATACTTTACATTGTAATCTGAATGCCTTTGGGGACTGAGCCTCTGCCTCTGGGTACCCCTCCTCTATCCACACTATTCCCTCCATCTGGGTGATGACCTTGCTCCTGGAACGGCTAAAGAAGTCCCCTGCAAGGGCCTATGTCCTGTGGAGGTCAGGGTCCCACTGGGATATGAAAGAGATTTAAGGATGACAGTGTAGATGAAATGTATAAGCCTAAGGCTGCATAAAACAAGCTGGAAATGTCTTCTGTTGGAGGCTGGTTCCCTTTGAGCATTAGCCAGAAACAGTCGCACACTCTTAAAGGGCTTTCTCCTTTATTAATCTTTTAAGCGTGCAGGTCAGTTTCTCACTGGTAAGGCATATTAACCCTGTAACAAATCCACAAGATTTCCCGTGTAACCTCAGACCAGACTTCATCTGCCCAGACACTCCCCGAGCTCCTTCCCACCCAGGACCAGATACAGGTAACCAGCCAGCTGGGACGCTCCCACTCCATCTGGGACTTTGTGGTCAGCTGCTAAGAGTCCCATTCACCGTACCTTCCTGAGCCTGGGTTTGCCAAACGCAGACAGTGACCAAACTCACTTTAAAGATGAGCTGTGGGCTAGTGAGATACGAAGTAGCCAACAGCACTTGCTAAGCCTGGCAGCCTTAATCCAACCCCTCGTACCCATGTGATGGAAGGAGAGAACCGACTCTCACAACCTGTCCTCTGGCCTTCACGTGTGTACCATGATGCATGTGTGTGCACACACAAACACATGAAAAGGTAAGTTATGGGCTGTACACCCAGGAAGCGCCTGCACTTACTGTTATATCATGTGACTGTCACTTGTGTCCTCTTTATAAGGCCTTGTTCAGTGTGAGTGTCGCCACCCAAGACCCCAGACACGGCCTCCATCCCCAGCTCCTCCTGAGCCCCATACAAACTCACCCTCGCTGATCTCCTGTGGTGTAGCATCCAGGACCTGCCAGCCATCATGGCCCTGGGGTAGATCCTGTCTTTTCATCCAGGCGTCTGTCCACACGTGGAAATTCCTGTGGCAGTGGAAATGAGCCAGCCATGCAGTTAGAGAAACTGTCACCACAGCCCTCTAAGGTTCTGGAGAGGGGGACCTTTGTCAACAAAGGCTAGGACAGTGGGGAGAGCCGTATGGAGAGCGGAGCTTAGGGCAGACAGGCAGTGGAGGAGAAGCCCCTGAGACACAAAGACCCCCCAATCACTAGCCTCTGCTGAATGAATGGGCAAACAACTGTAAACCTTTTCTCCACTCAAAGGGATTCTGATTTTATTGATGAATAATTTTATAGCTTTGTAGCTGGACAGTATTCCATATTCTTGCCTTTTTGTTTATTTGTTTTTGAGACATGGTTTCTCTGTGTAGCCCTGGCTGTTCTGGAACTCATATTCTGTAGACCAGACTGGTCTTGAACTCAGAGATCCACCTGCCTCTGACTCCCCAGTGCTGGGATTAAAGGTGTGAGCCTCCACTGTCCAGCTATTCTTGCTATTTTTAAGACAGTTACACCATATGGATTAATAGAGCTTGGTGCCTCCAACACTTGTGCCAAAGTGAAAGACTTGGCACATCCAGCTGTAGGAGACATGACCCCACCCAGGCCTCCAGACATCCTACCTCCCTTAAAATCCCTGTGCTTTTAGCCTGCAAGGTGCTGCGCACTGGGTCAGAGAGCAGAGGAGACAGTGCCCCTGGTTGACTAGAAGTGCCAGTTACATCAGTGTAGCAGACAGCACCTGTCTCAGTCTCCAGGGCTGGAGGCCAGAAGTAAAGACCAGTTCTCAGTCTTTGCCTCCATGGGGGCAGAGGCTGCAGCCCAGGGATCTTCACACAATGAGGTTGACTCTACAAAGTGGGTCTGGAGTTGACACTGCTCCCAACCTGAACCAGTCGACAGAGGAGGCTGAAAGCCCACAGGAGAACAGAGGAGGAACCCAGCCAGCCAGGAGGGAGCCTACCAGACAGAGTCTTTGGTGAGATGTGTAATTGTCTTGCCCGATTCATCCAGGTAGATGTCTACTATGAGGTTCTTCCCCGTATCGTGGGCTGACTCAAAATTAGTCACGCTGCGAGCCGGGATGCCCACTGCTCTCAGTGCTGAAACGAGCCCAGACAGAATGGTCAGCTTCTGCGGGGGCTGAGCGGCCCCTGCCCCTGCTGCCGCCTACCTGTGGTCAGGATCCCAGAGAAAACCCAGCACTGGCCAAAGCACACAGGCTCCTTGGTGATGAAGTGCTGCTGCAGGATGGGCACGCTGCTGGTCCACACGTAGGGGGCGGTGCCTTTGCTGTAGTCTCCCGACCAGTTCCCCACCAGCACGCCATTATTCACGGCACACATCTGACACGGGACAGAGCGGTGTTAACATGTGTGCCTTCCCCACACCCCAGAGTCTGTCAGGACAAGCAGAGCACACAGGAGGAACAAGGGACACGTTTAAGACTAGCCTTGACTACATAGGGAGACTTAGTCTCTCCTTCTGTACTCCTTCAGAGAAACCATCCCTCACTGAGCAAGGGTAAAAAGTCAGAGAAGAGCATCTCTCATAACATGGAAAGGCCGTGATGCCCACGTGAGACTTCAGGGTGCAAATGCAGAGGCAGGGTGACTTTCCGGCACATAGACTCTGCTTGTCAGGACACCTGTGAGTACAGACTGACACATGACATATCTAACGGCAAAAGGAAATCAGGCTGTAAATGTAGCAAGGTAATTAGAAACATAAGGGCACACGGGCATCTTAAATCCTAACGGGACAATCAGGCCCAGCACCGTACCACACACCTTCATCTGGACCCCGAGGTGAAGGACAGCTAATGTCGTAGTGGTGATCTGTCACCTGAGCATCTGGTACGGACAAGGGAATTGCCTGTCCCAGGCATCTCTGCTCAGCTCTGCTCCTACTGCCAATATGGTCTACTTAAATCGCTGTCAGTCTGGACCCTGTCCTGCTTTTCCCTGGCTGCTTCCAGTGTCCCACACCTCATTTCTGCAGCCTCGCTTGACCCTGAGGCTTGGCTCAGTCCTGTAATCCCACAGCTCGCTCTCTCTCTCTCTCCCTTCCTCTCTCTCTCTCTCTCTCTCTCTCACACACACACACACACACACACACACCTCTCTCTCTCAAGCACACACCTCTCTCTCACGCACACACACACACACCTCTCTCTCTCAAGCACACACCTCTCTCTCACGCACACACACACCTCTCTCTCTCTCACACACACACACAGCTCTCTCTCTCTCAAGCACACCTCTCTCTCTCTCTCTCTGTCTCTCTCTCTGTCTCTGTCTCTCTCTCTCTCTCTCACACACACACACACACACACATACACACACAGAGCAGAGATGCTTCTTGCATCCCTATCAGCTTCTCTGCCTCTTTGAACTCCTTGGATTCTGCTGCAGTTTCTGTGATCCTTTTGTGACCATTCTATAACTTACATCTGTACATACATACATTCATTCACACATGCATACACACATGTAGGTATATTTACTATGTGATGTGTTATCCAAGAGTGAATATTAGTAAGACTGAAATAAAAGAACCTATGTTTGCCTCTGCTGACAAATCAGGATTACTCGGTACACTGCTGCTAAGAAAGTTAGCAAAGCATAGCAACACAACATAGCATGTGTTCATCCCAGCTGCACCCAGGTTTACAGGGAGGGCGAGACCCTCGAATATTTACACCATCTTGTAGACTGGAAAAGCTATTTCCTACGATCAACTTAGAAGTAGCAAAGTTGGCCTTCTGAACTCAAATTTGAGAACCTGTCCTCAGAAGGACAATGGCAGACAACATATCCCTTGACAGTTTTAACTGCTCAGCCACAGCTCCCTATGAGCTTCATGGAGAGCAGCTTAGTGTCTGCAGGAAAACCCAACTTGGCTGAGCGGGTGTTGACGGACCACAACAGCATTTACTGTGTAGACTTCTGGGAGCCTGGAGGTGGAGTCTGGCTTCTCCACATACCATGGTGCAGATGGTCCTGGACACAATCACCGGGCTCTGCAGTTCACTGGGCTCCAGATGGGTCAGCAGGGAGAAGCAGCATTTCAGGATGTGCTTCTCAAACTGTCGTGGAGAGAGAGAGGCGTCAGGATTCTGTCCTGTGGCAGACACTAACCAACCCCATCTGACTTGTATTTCTTTGCAGGATAACTCATCTCCAAAGTAAGGGAAATTGCCCACGGTCTCCCAAAGATCCTCCACACTCTGCAGTAGAAGCCACTAAGCAGTCAGACACATGACAACAGTTAGTACATCCAAAAGCTCACAGGGCACAACTATTGAAAAGACGAACACGGGGCTGGGAAGATGGCACATTGGGTAAGTGCACACATATATAAAGGACACAAAGAGGTTTTAGAACCGAGGGAAATCCTTTGGTAATCTAGTTAAATCATGAAACAAGTTGCCAAACTGTGCACGAGAAATGTCATCTCAACTTGGTTAGCATTGGTCATAAAAAGTGGACGAGGGTGGTGATGGACATGATTCCGTGGCTGAGAGCACTCGTTGCTCTTGCAGAGGACCTGGGTTTAATTCCTGCACCCACATGGTGGCTCATAGCCAGTTCCAGGAGAGCCAATGTCCTCTTCTGGCCTCCACGGGCACCAGGCAAGTACACAGCGCACAGACATACACAGGCAAAATAACATAAGATAAATAAATATCTTAAAAATAGACTAGGGTAGGCAGTTTGATTTCGTGGGAAAAGCACCTGTGTTTGATCCTCAAGATCTACCCATGGAGAGAGCCGACTCTTGAGAGTAGGTCCTGACCTCCACACACGGGGCTGCATGTGTGCATGTAGGGTCACGGGTCCAAGCCCACTTCCAGGCTTGAAAACCTACCAAATCCCACCAATGCCTGAGCCTCAAAACCCACCAGTCCCTGGGCTTGGCTTGAAATCTCACAAATCTTCACCCTGGAAATCCCCACCTTGGAAAACTCCAACCCCAGGAAACCCCATATAAGTCTGTGTCCTTGGTGTCCTGCTGCTTCTCGCCCAAGCAAACGCAGTCACCTGCTTGTGTCTCGCCCGATAAATCTCCTGTGTGAAGTTTGTTGTGCACTGTGACTTTGTGATATTTCCTGGCTCCCGACCGCCAGGATGCCTTTCCCTTCAGAGCTGCAACACTTGCATTGGAACACACACACACACACACACACACACACTTGCATTGGAACCCGCGCGCGCACACACACACACACACACACACACACTTGCATTGGAACCCGCGCACACATACACACACACTTGCATTGGAACCCCGCACACATACACGCACACACACACACACACACACACACACACACTTGCATTGGAACCCGCGCACACATACACACACACTTGCATTGGAACCCCGCACACATACACGCACACACACACACACACAGAGCTGCAACACCTGCGCTGGGGAAGCCTTTCCCCCCCGAACTGCAACACTTAGAGTGCCTCACACACAATAAATGTAAACAAGTGTTTAAGAGAATAAAGTGCTCTAAACTGCAGCACCGTCACCACGGAAGGCTGACATTTTGTTTTATGTACTGTAGTTTCTTCTTTGTTCTTCCTCCTCCCCACCTGCCTATTGTTGAAGGTCTTTTTGTTTCTGTTGTTTTATTGTGCCAGGGTCTGCGTAGCCTTGGCTCTTCTGAAACCTGCTATATAGAACAGACTAGCTCCATTCTCATGGAGATCCGCCTGCCTCTGCTTCCTGAGTGCTGGGATTACAGGCTTTGGCTACTATGCCTGGTTCACACTGGTGTACTGAGACGGTAGCTTCCTACTTACCCTACACCGGCTTCAGAGTCACCCTCTCTTGTGTTTATATCACAGGCATGTGCGACCAAACCTGCCCCGTGTATTTCTAAGTCTTTTGTGATAAGCACTACTAGGGATAGAACCAGGGCCTCACACAAGCAGTGCCCAGCTCAGTGCAGGCCTAAGTTACTTTTTAAATCCTGTTTAAGCAGTTTTACTAGGATACAAAGAACATCCCATAGGTAGCGTGGTCAGAGTCTGTCCGTGAATGTAATATGTGCTGGTTATGCTGCAGTCCAATGGGAAACACAGCAAAGCAGAAGGAGCAGGCAACAGCTGTGGTTCAGAAAGCAGCAGAGTTGAGCGAGTTCCTGACAGGAGCGACTCACCTAGGATTCCAGCAAAGTCTCCCAGGAAGTTCCCCTTTTCTGTCAAGCGATTCCTACCCCTTTTCTACCGCTCTCTTGGCCTTCCAGCCACAGGACAACCTGACACCATGCTGCCCACAAAGCAGACTCCCTACTGACTGGTAGTCCCTCCTCCACTGTCCTCTGTCCTATCCTCTGTGCAGAGACCAGGGACAGGAGGCAGGTTTGAAGGGCTGGCATTTTCCAGAGTGTTTTGCTCTGTGAAATGTGGAAGACTGGCATCTTCTGATGCCATGAAGCTGACACAGTGGACCTGTTAGCCACCAAACCTCTGTCCACCCATGTTGCCACTCTTCCTACAGCTGCGCCAAGACACCCATCCATCTATGCAGCAGAACCTTCTGCACCCAAGTCTTCCAAATGCCTCCTGGTTTGAGCTTCTTGTCACACTGTCACCTGGCACCGATATAAGGACTTGCTGAATGGTTCCTGGATAAATTCCCTGGAATATAGGAGGTCGGAAAGAGCCAAGGATAAGAAAGGCCCTGGTGGGCTCTGAACAAGGGGCCTCTGGCTCAAACCACTTCTCCTGTGGGGTCTGTGGATCTTAGTCCTCTCAGGCAAGTTTCACACTTGGGGGGCCAGTTTTTCAGCTGAAGGGAATCCACTTTGCTCCACAGCCTTTGTTTGATATCACCCAAGAAAAACATGCATGGTGCCGCCAGAAGAAGACAATCCATTACCTGACCAAAGGTCCAGGGCTTCTCTTTGATTTGTTTGGCGAAACCCATGTAAATATAGCCGGTATCATTAAGGATGTACTCTGCCCGCTCCGCCTCACTAGGCATGTAAACGTTATCATCTGAAGCAAGACAACACACATGTGGGTTACTGACCACCCGTGAGATAGGGGCAGGTTTCCCATAGGGCTGAGACAACAACTATTGTGGGAGTGGGTACAGGAAGCAGGAAGGGTCAAGCGATGCACTGTGCACTGGAAATACAAACAGCCAGGCGTAGTGGCCTTTGACATAAGCACTTGGGAGGCAGGGGGTCTCTATGAATTTGAGGCCAGACTAGGCTACACTGAGAGTCCTAAGACAGCCAGAGCTACATAGGGAGACTCTGTCTCAAAGCAAAAACAAAAGCAAAATTTAAAAAGTGAAGAACTTCCAAAAGGACATCCTGAGCCAGGTGCACGGCTCTTTCAATGGAAAAATGTGAGTAAATTTGAACATAAGGAAATTATGATGAAGTATAATTCATAAACCGGGTGGTGGCGCACGCCTTTAATCCCAGCACTCGGGAGGCAGAGGCAGGCAGATATCTGTGAGTTCGAGACCAGCCTGGTCTACAGAGCTAGTTCCAGGAGAGCCAGGGCTGTTACACAGAGAAATTCTGTCTTGAAAAACAAAAACAAAAAACCAAAGAGAGAGAAAGATAAAGTTAAAATTAAAAAATAAAAATTTAAAATAAAAATGAGTAACATTTGTATAAAGGCTCAAGGGTAGCCAGGAAGAGATGATCTGAGAAGAGCCAGGTGTGAAGACAGAGGAGTCCCTGTGGCTCCCAGCAGCCTCTGGGCAGGGCTGTAGCAGGAGCTGGCTGGGTTTGGCAAAGCAGTTAGGATGAGCTGAAATGGCAGAAAAAACATGCGTTCGTGAGCTTGGCCACCAGAGAATCTTCTAGGCAAGCAGCAACTGTGCCTGGCTCATGCCGGTCAGCGAGTCTGAGAGGGCCCCGAGAGCAAACAACAGCTTGGGGGCTCGGCACCGGGTGCGAGCACGGGTACTCCTGGTTGTGTCACGTGAGGTCTGTGAGGGGGGGGCACACACTCCACAGCACAGCCGAACTCCTGAGTTACCTGCACACCATGGATTGAAGAGAAGGAAGAATATTCCACCTTTACTCTCATTCACCTTCAGGTAATACTTCCCCACCATGGCGTCGGCAGCGCTGATGACAGCCAGTGTGACCTGCATGGAACGTGAGACGTGCAGACGCGTTCTTCCCCGACTCAGCTCTGAATCCTGGGAGCCCCCCCCACCCCTTTCGCTCCTGCATGCAGACAGGGCCACCTCCCAGATCATAAGGCAGATCCTGTGGCTGTGACGTCAGGAGTCTGATCTAGCACCCAGGCCTCCAAGAGGCAAAGCAAATGTCAGCTCCTGCTCTCTGCGGGGCATGGGTGCTGCTCAGCAGTAGAACACTTGCCTAGCATGCTGGAAGCCCTAGGTCACATTCAACCCTGCAGGGCCTGACGCATCTTCAAGGGCACCCAGACTGCCTTCCAGTGCTTTAGGGTAGGTAGTGACTGGGTAGAGAACTAAGACATAGACATCACTGTACCTACAGCTGCACTAAGAATTTTATTAACCATCACTACACACAACCCAGGGGCTTCTAAACCTATGAGAGGTACCTTCTAGGAGCAAAGGCCCTGTCTTCCACTAGCTGAATGGCATTGACTACTTGCTCAATTTCTCCTGTGCATAAGTTTCCTTGCTTGAAAGTTTGCTGACTCCTCCCTCTCCTGGAGGTGGTTGTGGGACTTAAACAAGCAACACAAACCAAGGCAGTAAGAAGGAGAGTGAGCCTTCTGGAAGGTAGGATGTCCTCTCTCTCAACCCCCAGTGGCATATGGCTGCCTTGATTAGGGGCCGTTCTGTGAGAAAGTGTTCCTGAGCACCAGCAGCACAGGTGGGACAAGGTCCTCAGCGGACAGAGCTCTCAGCTCCTGAGGAAAGTCTTTCCTGTTGGATCCCAGCACAGACTGGAACCCTCACCATCGTTCCTTACCAAGCAACACAGGAAGCCCAGCCTTCCATGGTACCAGTAATGTCAGACACCCTGATCTATACAGGGTCTTACATACATGTTCACATGTTTAAAATTTTAAAGAAAGGCTGGAGAGATGGCTCATCGGTTAAAGACTTGTACTGCTCTTGCAGAGGACCCAAGTTCAATTCCCAGGACCCATGTCAGGCAGCTCACACTGCCTTTAACTCCAACTCTAGGGTATTCAGTGCCTTGGGTGACTGACTCACATATAAATATCACAGGCACACACACACACACACACACACTTGATTAAAAATAAAGAAAATATATATACTTTTTTTTTTAAATCCCATTTTTTAAAAAAATTTACTTCCTTCATGGGTGCTATAAAAATAAGCAATTTTAAAGAAAAAATATTAAACAATATCTTTTGAGTGAAGAAACTTAGCTCATCCCCCTCCCATTCCCACCAGCTCCATGACCCAGACTGCGGTTCCTAGCGAAGGAGACTAAGCTTAGACCTCCCCTAGAGAGGCCATCATGAGTTCCTGAAAAGCACAAAATGCTGCTGCAGAGAGGAAACTGAAGCCCTGGTTCCGGCCTGAAGGGAAGGAAGGAAAAGAGGCTGGTGGGGGGGGGGGGGGGTGGTGGTGCTGAAGACCAGGGCCCTCTAAATCTTGGCATTAACTTAGCAGTGGAATCTGTAGGCTGTGCCTGAGGAAGAAGTCGTAGACTAGTTCAGGGGTCCAGCTAGGAGGGGGGGACAGCTGGTGGTGACTGTCCAACACCGGGAGGATAGAAAGTCACAAAAGACGCCAGAGAAGCCACCTAAGCCCTCCCACCTGTGGAGGCTGCTGTGCTGGCAACCTAAACAAAAGGACACTGATGATGATGTCACATTCTGCTAAGAGAAGGGGGGTGAGAAGCAAAAAGCTCCTTCAACTGCTTTTGAATTTAAACAAAAGGCCTGGAGGGAGGAGTGGACACAGCATCTGCAGGAAGAAGGGTTGTTATGATCTTCTCTCCTCCCCCATCCCGTCTCCCTCCCTCCCTCTCTCTGAGTCAGGGTCTCTCTCCATAGCCTTGGCTGTCCTGGAACTCACTATATAGCCCAGGCTGGCAGGACGATCACCTGCCTCTGTCTCCCAAGAGTGCTGGGAATAAAGGCGTGCACCACCACACCTGGCCCTGATGGGTTATTCTTACTCATTTTCCTCTGTTCATTTCCTCCAGCGAACATAAATACGGAACAAGAGTTACGTAACATCTGGCTAGTCAGAGCTACTGTGCGCTATGGGTAAGCAAGACGCTGCGGTACCCAGAGTCAAGGCTACAGTGGTTAGCAGCATTGTACACTGGGAAGCAAGGAAGGGATGAATGGGAACTGCTCAGTGGGGACAGAAGCCACCACCCAGTAACCCGACACTATGGCCCTCACCTCGCCGCCGGACTGTTTGGTAATTTTCACCTGCCAACCCTTAGAACGGAAGGATGTCATTGGATCAAGCTCCACGAAGTGCGATATTCTCTCTCCTGGAAACATCGACAGGGAAGTGAGTCTGGACGTCAACCCCAGGACGGCCATCTTTGTCCACTCACCAAGCCCCACTGCTCCTTCCTAGTTCCTGGAGTGCAGCCCTCAATTGATGATAGTTGGTCCCTCTGCCTGACAGGGCTCATGGTCTTCCTCCACCTTGGCTAGCTAGGTTGCCCTGTCTGCTCAAATTAGGCAAGGCTACCCCATCTCTTTCTATACCCTCGCCTATAACTCCAGAGCCCAGTCCTCTCTTCCATGTCTCTCTCTGCTTTGTTAAATTGTTTAGTCCTGGCCAATACAGTCACTACAACATGCATTAAACTAATGATCTTCCTGCCAAAAATGCAGTGTGTGTGTGTGTGTGTGTATTTGTATGTGTGTGTGTATATGTATGCGTGTATGTGTGTGTATGCCATAGGTCAACACTGAATGCCTTCCTCAATCTGGAGCTCACCAATTTGTCTAAACTGGCCAATCAGTAAGTTTCAGGGATCAGCCTGTGTAAGCTCCACCAAATATTCACCTACTGCTTGGCTTTATATAGGTGCTGGGGACTTAACTCGGGTCCTCCTGCTCGTGTGACAGACACTTCACTGACTGGACTATCTCCTTGGGCCCCCAAGTGTGGGACTTTTGATAACAGAACTACAGTGTCAGCAGTTTCGTGACGTATCTCTAGAAGGTGTTTCTGATCCCTTTAGAACAGCTGCCTCACTGACTGGCCTCTGTTTGCTCTGCCCCTTCCCTGGCCATCGCCACATCAACTGTGCCAGAGTGATTAACCCAGTTCCCAGTCCACTGTCAGCATGGGGAAGCTAAGGCTTAGGGGGTAAAGTCACCCTTGGCCATTGCACACTCATCAGCCTTGTGTCCCCACCCTTCATCCCACTCCCGGGGCTGAGGCCTCACCAGTAGAAAATACCAGCTTCAGTTCGTCCTGAGGTTGGAGAGGTCTGTTTAGCACCACCTTTATGTTGAAAATCTGTCCGCGTCTGAGCACCAGCTTCTGGGTCTGGAACTCCGACGTGTGGTGGGCAGCGGCATTCTCCTTTTTCTCCAAGTTCACAGAGTAAACCACCAGCGCTGTTAGCACACAGGATGTGGGAGGACACAGGGCTGACTCTTGACTCTGACAGGCCATGATAATCTGAGATTTGGTTTCCTGCCTATAAAATGGGTGTGTGCACACTGGCCACACAGGATTCAGGGGGTAGAGCCCAGATACAAGTCATAGAAAGCCTTGACCAACACTTCTACTAGTAGCTGTGAGGTCACCCCCACTGCCCATCCTCCCAGCTTTGTAAACTGGTACATGGATTCTGGGGGGCAGTCCTCAACTGCTCCCCATTCCTGCCAGCCCATGTAGACCAGGCTGGCCTCCAACTCACAGAGATCTGCTTGTCTCTGCCTCCCAAGTGCTGAGATTAAAGGCGTGTGCCACTGCTGCCTGACATTGTTTTTTTGTTTTTGTTTTGTTGATGTTTGTTTGTTTGTTTTTAATCATATTGTTTGAGGTGGATGGCACCTCCCAGCGCCAGCCTGATAGAAGCAGGTCTGAGGGAAACTGCTTACTCTCAGGTCTTGCTGGCAAACTTATCTGCTCTGTTGGCATTTTTCAAGCTGCTGCCGCCACCCCTCTGGGCTGACAAGAGAACACAGCTTCTTTGGCTTTCTGACATGGACTGAAGATGAATCCTCCAGGCCTCGAACGCTAGCCTGGATGCTGAGACACCTAGTCCCGGCCTGAGCAGCTATTGGCTTTCAACCTCTCCAATGTGAAAATTGTTGTTGTTGAACTATCTGCATAAGCCAATATAATAAATACATTGGCCTTTCAACCTCTCCACTGTGAAAATTGCTATTGTTGAACTATCTACGTAAGCTAATATAATAAATACCCTTTTAAAACACATTCATAGTATCGGTCCTGTTCCTCTAGAGTGCCCCAGGGTGCACACTACCTAGTTTGTACAAACACAGATGACTTCTTCCTAGAGGTCTAAGATTTGGGCTACATGGCTGACTACAGTAAACCCTTACGGCACCGAGTCCCTTGTTCTAGCAGATAACTTATCACTTGTTAAGGGAGTCAAGGGGCACACACTGTGTGACCCCACTGACCAAGTCTCTCCCTTTGGTGACTGCTGCACCTTGTGCCACAAGAAGGCACAGCCATGAGAATACTACATGTCAATCTGTGTGTGCTGGCTGGTTTTATGCCAATTTGGCAGACGTTAAAGTCATTTTGGAAGACTGAACCTCAATAAGAAATGCTCCCACTAGACTGGCCTGTGGACAAGCCTGCATTTTCTTGATTGATGTTTGATGTGGGAGGTCCCAGCTGACTGTGGGCAGTGGCGCCTCTAGGCTGGTAGTCTTGGGTTGCTATAAGAAGGCCGGATAAGCAAGCCATGAGGCAAGCCAGCAAGTAGCACACCTCCATGCCTGTGTTAGCTCTTGTCTCAGTTTCTGCCCTGACTTCCCTCAGTGACAAGAGGGTGACCCAAGAGCTGTTGGCTGAAATACTTTCTTCCTAAGTTGGTGTTGTGGGATACCCACCTGTATGTTGTGAATGTTTTATTGCCGTTGGTTAAGAAAGAATCTACTTCGGGCCTACAGACAGGGTAGAATAGAGCAAGGCAGGAATTCCGAACAGAGATGTAGAGAGAAAGTAGGTGGAGTCGAAGAGATGCCATGTAGCTGCCGAAGTAGAAAGATGGCTGCAGAAGCTTGCTGGAACCTTACCTCTTCCTGCAGAGGGCTGGGGCCCCTCCGAATTGGGAGTGTAAATGGTTGCCCTAGGCACATATGCCAAAGAGTTGTCGCTGATTTAGAGAACACACGGCAATCCTCATCAAAGGAACTCATTTGCAGTCGGGGTTTTACAGGATTTCCACAAATGAAGTCACAGATTTAAAAATGGCACTGTACAAAAACTATACAAATATTCTTCCCAAAGAAACAAAAGCTTACAACAGGCAGCAGCTCCTCCAGTAATCTCACAAGAGTGAGGCCAGCCTGGGCTGCCAGAGTGAGTTTCTCAAGTCTGTCTCATCCCGACTTCTACCCCCAAAGAAAACAAATTAGATGCTTTGTACTATAAAATAAATATGTAAAAAACAGTTGGGACACAAGGAATTCAGAACGGTTGTGGGAGGGTGAGCTGGAGAGATGGCTCAGCAGCTAAGAGTTCTGACTGCTCTTGCAGAAGACCACAGCTCAATTCCCAATACTCACAACTGTCTATAACTCCAGTTCCAGGGGATTCAACATACTCTTCTGCCTTCCATGGGCACCAGGCACACACACACAAATTAATATAATTTTCAAAAAATATTGAAAGGCTCCCAAGGTGGCTCTGTGCGTAAAGGTGCTGCTTCCAAGCCTGATAACCTGACTTCCCACCTCAGAACCCCCATGATGGAAAGACTTACAGACTTACAGACAGTTGCCTCTGACTTCCACATGTGTGTAATAGCCCTCTCCTTCTCTCTCTCTCTCTCCCTCCCTCTTTCTCTCTCCTTTAAAAATCCAGCAAACAAATTTAAAAATCATAACTAGGAGAACTGTGACCTAGGGAGCACACTGGGAACATGGAAGTGGGTTTGACGGGGCCCTAGATGCAAGAGCTCTAGGAAGAGAGCTGCCAACAGCAGGGAGTGTACCACCCACCAAGACAAGACTACTGGGGTGGTGAGAAAGTGGGTGTCAGCTTTGAGATTAAAAATACCCCCTGAGAAACCTGCTCCTGTACCAAACAAGCATCCATCAAAGCAGAAACAAAAGCTGCGGCAGACACTGTGACCACCTCTGGCGAGGGAACTGGAGTCATGGGCGGGGGCGGGGGTGGCGGGGGGGGGGGGTCTGGTTTAAGTTTTGCAATGACCAGTTATTACTTGTTTTGTTTGTGATTTTTTTGTTCCTGAAGAAACGATTCATTCTCTCACCCATTCTGAAAAGTCCGCCGTCATCAGAGAGGACCTCTCAAGTGCATTAGGCCCCCCTCACGATGCTCTGTCATTGGGGACCCTGGACTTGCAGTCCTTGGCCAGTTTCCTGAGTGCTTCTCCCCTCAACACACTGGCTGGGTCAGGAAACTACATCTTTTTTTCAAGCTGTGGTCTTAGCTAGGATTTCTCTTTTCTTTCTTTTTTTTTAAAAAATGGTTTACTTGTTTTTATTTTATGTGCATTGGTGTTTTGCCTGCGTGTGAGGGTATTGGATCCCCTGGAACTTGGGTTATAAACAATTTGAGCTGCCGTGTGGGTGGTGGGGATTGAACCCAGGTCATCCAGAAGAGTGACCAATGCTCTCAACCACTGAATCATCTCTCCAGCCCCTTAGTGGGTTTCTGTTGCTGTAATGAAAGACCATGACCAAAGCAACTTGGGGAGGAAAGGGTTTCTTTGGCTTATGTATCCCCAGTCATAGTCCATTGAGGGAAGCCAAGGCAGGAACTTAAACCGGGGAACCGGTGTAGGTAGAAGCTGATGCAGAGGCCATGCAGAAGTGCTATTTACTGGCTTGCTCCTCATGGCTTGTTCAACCCACCTTCTTATAGAACCCAAGACCACCTGACCAGGGGAGGCACCGTGCACAATAGGTTGGGCCCTCCCCTATCAATCATCAATTCAGAAAATGCCTTACAGGCCTGACTACAGCCTGATTTGATGCAAACATTTTATCAGCCTGTACGGCTGTCCTAGTATCTCCAGTCTGTGTCAAAGTAACATCAACAAGGCTCCACGGTTGTCCCTAGCCATTCACAAACACTTTCACAGACTTGTCCTTTATTGTGGCTGAGAAAAACCAAAGCCACATTGCTAACCAGTGTATAGCAGACTTCAGCCTGAACCATCTCTCTGACCAGCAGGCCCTCCCAGCATACATGGCCTTTACCAAGCCCCTGGCCCTGCTGTCCTCCTCCTCTGAATGTGGATGAGCATTCGGCCATCTGAAGAATCGAGGTGGCCTGGGGGCTAAGGAGAATCATGTTGTCATCCAATGTCACTCAAATCACATCCCTTCGCAGAGCTCCAAAGTACTCATTCCTTGCCTGGCCCATGGCTCTGCATCCAGAAAGAGGCTGCACAATGCTCAATGCCAGCTCACAGAGGCCCTGAGAGACTTGCATGGAAAACTAATGCGGTCATTGTTTGGGGAATCTGAAATTTCTGTGTATCTGAAAATTTGGCTTTCTTCCATGAATAAGACAGCAAGCCATGGATGAGGTAGGAGGACAGTGGCCCAGGCACCCCGCCTTGAGGCAAGTGGTTGGCTCAGAGGGCTGGACAGCAGCAGGTGCCCAGAAAGCCAAGCTGCCAGAGTGCAGATTGTACCCACTCACCACTCCTGCTGTCCATGGTCCCGCAGCCTCTCTCTGCAGCCCTGCCGCCAACGGCACTGCCAGAGTGAGTCTCAGAGCAGGTGTGGTCCCTTTTTATGTGGCCCTGGGGTAGATGTGGCTTTGTAGTGGCTGCCAAGGGGCAAGGCTTAGGACCATATCGATCAGAAACAATAAAACTTTAACCATCTTCCATATCAGCCCCAGGAGGAAGTCAGGAGACAAGATGAGCTGGCTTCAAAGGAGGGGGCACAGAGAACGGCGCCCTGTGTCTTCTGTGACCCCAGGAACAAGTCCCCGAAGGCCAGCGTCCTGTGACCCCAGGAACAAGTCCCCAAAACCAGGGTCCTGTGACCCCAGGAACAAGTCCCCAAAAGTCAGGGTCCTGTGATCTCCAGGGACACTGGGAAAATCTTAGTACATAGCTTTATTGTTTTTAAATAAGGGATGCCTAATAATTTTTTTAATTTTCTTTTTAAATATTTATTTATTTATTTATTATGTATACAATATTCTGCCTACATGTATGCCTGCAGGCCAGAAGAGGGCACCAGACTTCATTACAGATGGTTGTGAGCCACCATGTGGTTGCTGGGAATTGAACTCAGGACCTGTGGAAGAGCAGGCAATGTTCTTAACCACTGAGCCATCTCTCCAGCCCCCTTTATTTTTGTTTATATTTCTAACATGTAATGCACACACGATTCAGGATTTTTCCAGTGTCCCCAGCCACCAATTCCTCCTCTCTTTTAGACCCCAGCAGACACGCTGTCCACCGAGAAGAGCATGCGCACACATTACGCGAAACATACGTACCACTGTGTTCTGAATCCGCAGCGAGACCTTGGGGGTGTTGGAGACTTTGCTGTCACATGTGGCTACATCCCACAGTTCTTCCCACGGATAAGCAGCAGTTCCTCCCTTTCAGTGCTGCAGGGAAAGGACTTCACACAGGTCACTCCTCCTTACGCTGTGTCTATAGGAAGAACCACAGCCTTGTGGAAACACTGGCCCATGCATGCCCAGATGCGTGTCTTGTGGACATCCGTTCTCTGCTTCCATTAGGGGTACCTATAAGGTCTTTTGCTTGACGGGGGTGTATTTATGTGTGTTCATGTATGTAGGTACACTTACCTGTACATGTTATGTGCAGGTTACAGCTGTTTGTGCACATATGTCTGGAGACCAGGGGTTAACATCAGGTGTTGCCTTATAAAATTATATATCTTTTAAATTTTTTATTTTATGTGAATATACGTGTATGTGCATGTACACATGTGTGCAGGTGACCATGGAGGTCAAAAAAGGGTGCTGGATTCTGTGGAGCTGGAATTATAGGTGGTTGTGAGCTGCCAGTGGGTGGGAGGAACCGAACTCAGATCCTCTGCAAGAACAGCACGTGTTATTAACTGCTGAGCAGCTACTGTTTGGAGACAAGGCTCCTCGCTGACCTGGGGCTCACTGTTTCACCGAGGCTAGCTGACCAGCAAATGTCAGCGGTCTAATGTCTCCGTTCTCCCCCGCACTGGGATGCGGACATGCTCTGCCGTGCCAGCTTTCAGATGGTTTCTAGAGATCTGAACGCAGGTCCTCTCGTCTGCTGAGCACGCTATCCACTGAACTATCTTCTTTTTTTTTTTTAAAGATTTATTTATTAAGTATACAACATTCTGCCTCCATGTATACCCACACATCAGAAGAGGGTGCCAGATCTCATTACAGATGGTTGTGAGCCACCATGTGGTTGCTGGGAATTGAACTCAGGACCTTTGGAAGAGCAGGCAATGCTCTTAACCTCTGAGCCATCTCTCCAGCCCCCTGAACTATCTTCTTAATCCCATACCTGGAACCTTTTCAGCGAGGCTGATTCTTGTGAAAGAGCTAGTTTGAGACAACAAAAGCCCCAGAGCAGGAGTATGGCCCGAGTCCCAGCATTCAGTAACTGTGTCCTTGGGAAGTTGTCTGAGGGACTGAATTCCTTCCGGGCCTCTACAGCCCGGGCAGGCTCGCTCTGCAGCTCTGCAGGGTTCTACACCCCGCTTTCAAGTCAAGTATACTAGCGAGAGACTTATTTTTCTATTTCTTCTCGTAGCATCAGAATTAGGACCGTGTGCATGGATTATGTAAAACTAAAGCTGCTCATCCTATGAAGTGGAAAGGAGCGAAGCCTCTGCAGAGTCCCGGCCCAGGGATCACGGGGGTCACCTGAAAAGCACAAGCTGTCTCCAGGGCACCAGGGCTAGAGCAGCCATTACCACAGAGAACAGACTGTGTGCCTTGACCAAGCCGCTTCACCTCTTTGTGCTTTTGTCCTCAAACTCTAGAACTGGGAGGTGATGAATCCCCGCGCTCCAGGTTGTGAGGAGGCCTTCAAGGTTATGTTGTCCCACAGGCTCCTGGTACCTAAACTAGAAGGCAGGCTCCAGATAGGATGCTGCCTTAGTTTTACAGGTGTTATCTAAGGAGCCCCGCCAGCTTCCCTCCCTCGCCTCCACTGCGCTGGCTTTTGTTTTGTTTTCTCTATTAGGTGGTGCTAGGTGCCACCTGTTCTCATCTTCCCGGTCTGTTCCACAGGGAACAGCGGCTGGTTATGCACAGAAGCTGTCACCTTCCAGAACTGCTGTTCCAGCTGTACCAGGGCCTGCTGGTAGAGCTTGGAGCTGTCAGCCTATCCCACACTCTTTGTTCTTCTCATAGGGGTGATCAGGTGATCAGGCACTTGTCCCACCAGGGGACAAAGGCTTTGAAGGCAACTACCTGGGAAACAGGTACCACTGACCTCAATCCAGAGATGGTAGGGTCTTGGAGGAGAGCGGGGAGAGAGGAGCGAGGAAGAGAGAGAGAGACAGAGAGAACTGGCAGGAAAGTACTAGAAACTTGCAGGTGAGACACTGGAGATGGAAACACACTTAGACATGAAACTGCCAGCCAGGATTGGATTTGTCTACCTTTTGCCTCTGCCCCATGGCTGGGCTCATGTTGAAAGATCTTGCTCAGGGCTGAGTATGTGAGGAGACAGAGCCAACTTAGATAATGTGTGAAGATGTGTCTCAGAGCCACCAGATGGTTGCAGGGGAGGGATCCTGGGGACACCTGAGTGACAGCTTCTAAGCCAGGTTCTCTCCTCCCAGAAGGAAAGCCTGGGAAGGGATGCTTGCGGGTTTTCATGCCAGCTCTGCTATCCAACCTCTACACTCCTGTCCCAGTTCTGAGAAAGGAGCAATCCTAGGCCTGGCAGCCATCCCGGTGCCACAGGAGCTGCCCTGGCGCCACACACTGGCTCTGAAGCATAAAGATGTCCTCTTGTACGTCTGGCCTCTGGCCTCGCTGCCTGTGGAGACAGGGAGGGGTTGGTAAACAGCACCCAGAGACCTCTAGGAACATCTTTTCTTCTGGTATCTGAACCTCTGCTTATCTCTGTTCTGATTCATATGTATATAAACAACTTTACAAGATAAAATGAAAGATTCCAATAACCCAGGAAATCGCTACTCACCAAGCCACCCAGTGCCGGGGCCATGCTGATTCAGTTACCTCAGCTCACAGCCCAGGTTGGTTCACCATCAGCCCTGCTGGGGGTCACCGCCATGCAGTGATGAACTGTGCTTTCCTCTGCTGTGCCTGCTGTGGGTTCAAGGCTTGACTTCTTGACTTAAGATCTGTCATCTGGGGTAAACCGTGCAAAGGGTGATCTGGACCAAGTAGAAAGACCCTTCCGGATGCTGTGGGAGGTCAGTTAGGGGACAAGGAAGTGCAGCTGATGGCTCCTGGCCCCTCTATGTCCAGGGAGCAGATGCAGGGAAACATGAGCTCTCTGAGCCTGTGTCCTAGGATGTAGGATCTGCACAGCCATTGTGAAGCACACCCATAACCCCAGCAATTAGAAGAAGGTAGGGGCAGAAAGACCAGGAGTCATCCTCAGCTATACAGTGAGTTTGAGACTAGCCTGAGTTACATGGCTCTATCTCAAAAAGTCAGTAACAGGGCTAGAGAGATGGCTCAGAGGTTAAGAGCATTGTCTGCTCTTCCAAAGGTCATGAGTTCAATTCCTAGCAACCACATGGTGGCTCACAACCATCTGTAATGAGGTCTGGTGCCCTCTTCTGGCCTGCAGGCATACACACAGATAGAATATTGTATACATAATAATAAATAGATATTTTTTTTAAAAAAGTCAGTAACATGAGAAGAGGATTGTGAGGGACCATTCTCTGTCTAGCCTATTCCTGGAGCCAATTCCAGTGGCGTCCGTTGTGTGCCTCCAAACGCGTTTTCCTTGTCTAGGTCCAGAGAACCCAGGACACAGCTAGGCTAGTAGGAATAATGTTTATTTCCTAGCTGACCACCACAGCAACTGTAACTTCATGTTTTATAATCTTAAAAATCATCATTCCAATATAGCAACAAGCCATTGTCCTTAAAGACTCATAAGACCTATAAAAAGAAAAAGGAATAAAAATCTCTACCTCCTTCTCAAGGTCAGGAACTAAAACACTGTGGTTACCCAGTGTTGCCCCAGCCTGTGTCCCCTCCTGCACCACTGTCTTGTCAAAATTAAACACTACTCTGAGTTAGGGCTTCTTTCACGTATCACCCACCCGCCCATAATTTATCTATATCTGCCTATCTGTCTGCCCGCCTGCCTGTCTGTCTATCTATTTATCATCTATCTAATCCATCATTTATCTACTCATCTACCTATCTATTTGTCTATCATCTGTCTAAGAGCTGGAAATTGAATGCAAACCCTCAGGCCAGCAGTCAATCACTCTACTACTGAGCTACATCCTCAGCCCCCTTACTGGTTTAAAAACACCATTCATGTGAATATTTTTAAAAAGTGGCACTATTTAGGGCTTTCTTCTTCTTCTTCTTCTTCTTCTTCTTCTTCTTCTTCTTCTTCCTCCTCCTCCTCCTCCTCTTCTTCCTCCTCTTCTTCCTCCTCCTTTTTCCTCCTCTTTCTCGTCCTCCTCCTCCTCTTCTTCCTCCTCTTCCTCCTCCTTCTCTTCCTCCTCCTTTTCCTCCTCCTTCTCTTCCTCCTCTTCCTCCTCCTCCTCCTCCTCCTCTTCCTCCTCCTCCTCTTCTTCTTCCTCCTCCTTCTGTTTTAGTATATTGAAAGTGTCCTTGTCTTTTTTCTCCATATTATGGTGTGTGCATGATGCATGTATGTATGATGTGTGTGGGTACACTCATGCCACTGTGTGTGTGTGTCAGAGTCAGACGATAGTCTTGGGTATGGGTCCTCATCTTCCACCATGTCTGAAGTAGTGTTTGGCACAGTGCTACATGTGACAGGGTAGCTGGGTTGCAAACCTCCAGGCATTCTCCTGCCTCTGTTTCCCCCCTTGCCATAGAATTGCTGGAATTACAGATGTACTGGCATGCCTGGCTTCTATGTGTTCTGGGGATCTGAACTCAGGCCCTCATATTTGGACAGCAAATACTTTACCCCCCCCCCCCCCCCGAGTCATCTCCTCAGCACCTACATTAGAGTTTTGAGATTTATTCACCCACACGACCCATGCCTTGTTTTCACGGCTGTCTAGGGTCCAGTCTCTCTCTCCTATTTTCTCCCAATGATATTATTACCTCAGAATTTTTTAGTTATTAACACCAATCCCAGAACCCATGTAAAGTTGAGAATGACAAACATCTGTAATCCCAGTGCTCCTACAGTGAGAGGGGAGGCCAAGACAGACAGACAGACAGACACAAACACACAGACACACACACACACACACAGAGAGAGAGAGAGAGAGAGAGAGAGAGAGAGAGAGAGAGAGAGAGAGAGAAACACCCAATCAAAGCTCTTGGTTGCTGAGCTTGCACAGGGTGGGGGGTTCTGGTAAAAGAACTTGGGGTATAAACTGAGGTGACCCTCCCTTACCCTTTAGGGAGGGCTAAAGAGAGACTAGCTTTCAATAGAATGAAGAAGGTCTTGGGAAGGTGCTCAGGCAGGGGGCCCTGGTCCTTCCTTTTGTCTAACTAGGATTAAGGGCTTTTCCAGTCAGGGCTGCTGTTGCTGCAGTGAAACACCATAACCAAAGCACTTTGGAGAGGACAGGGTTTAGCTGGTTTACACTTCAGTATCACTATCATCATCAAGGAAGTCAGGACAGAAACTCAAACAAGGCAGGAACTGGAGAACGGAGCTGATACAGGGGTCACGGAAGGGCATTGCTTACTGGCTTGCTAGGCTGGCCGCCCAGAGATGGCCCCACCCACAATGGGCTGGGCTCTCCCCCACCAATCACTAAGAAAATGTCCTGCAGGCTTGCTTCCGCTTCCAGCCTGTTCTTTCCACTGAGCTTTTTCTTTGTTTTGCTTGTTTGTTTTTCAAGACAGGGTTTCTCTTTGCAGACCCTTCCCGGAACTTGCTCTGTAGTAAAGGTGTGTGCCACTGCCTGGTTCCTCTCAAGAAGACATTTTTCAACCTCCCCCTCGGCCCCCCACCGAGGCAGGGTTTCTCTGTTTCTTTGGAGCCTGTCCTGGAACTCCCTTTGTAGACCAGGGCGGCCTCGAACTCACAGAGATCTGCTGGTCTCTGCCTTGCCGAGTGTTGGGATTAAAGGTTTGTGCCACCACCTCTAGGCAAGGAGATAATCTCAGATGAGGCTCCATCCTCTCTGATGACTCCCGCTTGTGTCAGGTTGACTTAAACTATCCAGAACAGGGTGGGGTCTAGGTGTGGGCTGAGTTTTGGACGTGACAGTGAGATCATAAATAGGTCTCGGCAGTGAACGGTTACCAGGCTGGGCTAAGTGTGGGAGGCTCTGGCCAGGACTGCCTGAGCCACTCCGCTCAGGCAGAAACTGTCATAGGTTGGATTTGAGGACCTCAGTTCTGCTGTCCTCTCTCTCACCCCACTGCAGTGTCCGCCTTTTAAGTGCCAAGCTGCCAGTTTTTCTTCTAAGACAGCATCTGGGAAAACTGGGCAAGAGTCGGGGTTGTTCCTAACCCCAGTCCCTTGCAGAGACTGATATTAAAGCATCATTTATTATAGATCAAGCACAGGCAAGCGTGGAGGCTCATTCCCGTAACCCCAGCCCTTGGAAGGCTGAGGCAGGACTGTGTGACTTTGAGATCAGTCTGACCTACATAATAAATTCATCATAAAAATCAAAACCAAAAGCAAGACCCCTGCAAGTCTGATCTTTTAAACTGTCCAAAGTCCCCCAAAAGCCATTTTTCCCAAAGAAGATACACAAATGACTCTTAAGCACAGAAAAGATGCTTGGCACGGTTATTCATTATAGGTGATGAACAGCAAGCATTTGCCACTTTCTTCCTAGCTGTGGATGCAATGTGACCAACTGCTCCCGCGTGGCTGTGACTTCCCCAGAGTGATGGGCTGTGTCCTTGAAACGTGAGCCGGGGTCAACCCTTTCTCAAGTTGACTTTGTCAGTATTTTAATGACAGGAAAAGAAACTAAAACAACAGCTATAATAAAAGATGAACAAAGGTGGGGGCTGAGTATAAACCAAGTATTTTATATGTATAAAACGTTATGACTAATGTACTATTAACACATGCTAATACAATGTACAATTAACATAAAAACTGAAAAGGATGGTTAATAATCACCTTTGTTATTAAGTGGTGAGACTGGAAACTCATACTCGGATGGCTAAACTATAAAGTGGTGTGGTTGTTCAGGAGGAAGGGACAGGTGGATCCCTGTGAGTCTGAGGTCACCCAGGTCTATAGAGTAAGTTCCAAGCAAGCATGAACTACATATGGAAACCCTATCTCAAAAATAGCAACAAAACACAAAGACCAAGTTAAAGTGGTTTATGATGTGTCCCAGTAATTCCATTTCTGGGCATGTATTCAGTAGAGTTGAAATCACATTTCCACAAGACATCCTGAATACTAATAACAGTATTATGATAACCCCAACGTGGAAACAACCTATCTAACAAAAGGTCAAATGGTCTCCCTGCAAGGTAGAAGGAGACTGCACCATAGAAAGGAATGAAGTAGCCAGGCGGTGCTGGCGCATGCCTTTAATCCCAGCACTCAGGAGGCAGAGGCAGGCGAATCTCTGGGAGTTTGAGGCCAGCCTGGTCTACAAGAGCTAATTCTGGGACAGATACCAAAGCTACAGAGAAACCCTGTCTCGAAAAACCAAAAAAAAAAAAAAAAAAAAAAAGGAATGAAGTATTAAAATGTGTTACATTAATAACGAGCCTGAGAAACACTATTTTAACTGAAAAAAAAAATCCAGACACACTTTTCTTGGGAAAAGACCCACTATATGAAATATCCAGATTAGGAGATTCATAGAAACAGAAGTACCTATGATAGCAGGGAGTGCAATGAGGTTGGGACAGAGCAATGACTGATGGGTAGGACTTTCACTGCTAGTGAAAGATTTCCTGGAATTAATGATGGTTGAAAATCCTGAGGATATAAAAACTGCTGAGATAACTATAAATAAAAAGCAAGAACAGAAAATGGTAACTGTCCTATCAAGGCCACAGGCTACACAGAACCTGATGCCAAATCTCCAGCCCGGAAGCAAACAAAACAAGCCACAATCCAGGACACACATCAGAAACACAAATATTGTCTTGTGGTTTATTCTTCTTGCAAAAGAACCAGTGCAACAAAGACGTGAATGCTGCCAGTCTGCTCAGGTGATTCCAGAGGCAAACATGTCTGCTTCCCGGAGAACAATTCATCCTCCCTGTAGAAAAAAGTATCTGTGGACTAGCCAGCATCAAGCATCTCTGTGCATTCGGGGGCTGTCTAGATTGGAGGCAGAGTTCCTTTAGCAGTGCCTGGGACAAGATGGACGTCGCCCAGAGGGACCCTACCAGTGGCTCTCAGCAACCTTCAATACTTGTTTGTTTTTTAAATACTTATGTGTGTAACTGTTTGGTCTGCACATGCTTGCATGACATATGTGTGCCTGTTGCCAGCAGAGGTCAGAAGAGGGCAAATGTGCAAGAACTATGTAAGCCATCACGTGGGGGACAGAAATCCAGGACCTCTGCAAAAACAGCAATTTCTCCAGCCCTCATGCTTGCTCTTGATTGGTGCCTGCACTACAGGACGGTATGCAAGCTGGGAACTAGGCTGGAGATTTAAAAACACACACAGAGACACGGAGATACGAGAATGCCAAGAATGCCCCCTTTATTGTGTTCAGGGGCAGCTTATATAGGGATCCTTAACTGAGAGCCAAGCCCCAGCCAAACCCATCAGAAACCACTCCCCTGCCATCAGGAACTCCTGAGGGCCTCGTGCTCAGAGCAGCTGCAAACACAGGAAAACAAGTTGTTTACAAGAAATTCAGGGTCTGGGGGTCCACGGCCCCCCAACAGGAACACACCTAAGGGGACCTTGAATGGCTTTCTCACTGGTAGAATGACCGTCATGAAACCCTCATAAACAAGGAAGTGGTTAGTGACAAGGTTCTGAGACTCGGTACAGTTTGCCACCGGTCTCTCTGCTCTTGATTTACTGAGGAGACAAGATTGTGCTGAGGATTAAGCCTCCTTAGACTTAGAGAAAGACGGGGCTGACAGTCTTTCTAGTCCTCATTAGCTGTGTGATGTTGGACGAGTCTCTCCACGGGCTCCTGTGTTCCTCATGGAGTGGTCAGGTGGTTTTACTATGTCAAAGTGAGCTAAGTAACCAACAGCTTTGCCTTGGCTCCCGGGAGGGTTTAAAGGAGTCTGGAACTGGGTTTGGCAGAGGTTGTTGCCAGGAGTGCGGCAAGTGAGCAGACACAGAAGCACAAACCGAAACTGGACGTCGTGGACTTGCAAACCTTTCTATATTAGAGTCCAGCCACTGGGGAGTCCAGTGTGAAGGACAGAACAGAAGCTGAGAGAAACCGTTGTGTGAGCGCTGAGGCCGGGTCCCCGCTGGCAGACCAAGTTTTTGTCACCTGCGCACACAAGCAGGGGAGAGAACCTCATTTGCTGGGTCCTGGCTTAGGGAGGAACCACAAGGGTGGAGCTGGACATGGAGGCAGGGGCACACAATCTCCATGAGTACTACTCCACGACTCCAATTCTGAGAACTCCGCTACCTGGCTACAATTGGAAAGAATTAAGATTCCACACCCAGGACCTTTATCGTACAAAGTAGGATTTATTAGCAGAAAGTTTCCTTTCTTTGCTGTGGATTCACAGGCGTTGACAGACTACCTGACACATTGTAAGTTTGTTTGCTTTTTTCCCATCAGGACGTCCCGCCAGCTGCCGACTCCGGGGGTCTATGAAGGGTCATGGTCAGGTAGGAGGATCATAACCAACAGACTCTTCCAGGGCGCATCAGGGCAAGCCCTGTACCAACACTGAAGGGCTTGGGCCTCATGCTGTGGTGGTTATCGTCATCTGACAGGAGCTAATGCTTCAACACTCCAGGCTGTGAGCTGGCCAGAGACCTGAGGTTGGTCGGGCATCTCCTTGCGGCCGATAGCCAAAGGCTGCACTCCCAGGCCACCCTGGAAGCAGTCCTATTTGCCAACCCATGGCTGGGCATCACGGTCACCTTTACAGTGGGTCTATCACTGCTGCTTGCTTGCCTCCCAGGTGGGTGGGAGTGTCCTGTGGATCAGGGTGAGCCCACAGAGGATGAGGAACACCCCTCCCCACCACAAGACCTCCTGGCACTCTCCGTACAGCACGTAGCCTAAGATGGCCTGTGGGAGAGACAGGTGTAAGGGACCTGGCCTCCTCCGGTGGGCTCTACCATTCCTCAGCGGCTGACTTCTTCCTGAGGAGGCCAGACACCAAAGTCTGCTGCTTCACATCCAACTACCACCTTCACCACATCAATCCATGTTCTTCTGTCTCCTCTGTGGAAGGCAGGGGCTACCCCAACTGAGCAACGGGGCCCAACAGGCCAGCAGGTGGGGCCAATAATCATAAAAGCCAGCTAGGCCACGTTCCTTCCACTTCAGGACTAACGTGTCTGCTCTACCTTGTTTGCCTTGGGCTTCTACAGGGAACCTTGACCAGTCTCCTCTATGCCCACAGCTAATGTTTTCATTCCATACTTACGAGAGACACGCCAAGGGACTTCACATGCCGGGTGCGATCCCAGAATGACACTCAGATTTCATCCCTACCTAAGCTCTCCAGGTTTAGCTGTTCCTCGACTGGCGAGCCCAACCTCTGCTTGACTTCCTGTCCTTTCTTGAGCCCGAGCAAGCAGGGGGTTTCCCCAAGGACAACTCAGCCAGAATATGAGTGAGAACAAGGTCAGCAGGCTACTCACCGAGCTGAGTATGTTTGAACACGTCACTGTGACAGATGCAATGGCTGAAGACATAGAGAAACTGAGGCCCCGGCTGAAGAAGGTCCACATCAGAGAATTGGTGCTTGCCATGGCAATAATGCCTAAGACACACAAGCCAATATTCACCTGCAGGAGAGAGGGTCACTGCAGCTACAACCACCAAGGGCAGAATCTTAAAGGCCCGGGGGATCTTTAGATGTCTCCTGCAAAGGATATGTAGACCTTGTGGACAGAGAGTGAGAGGTACCTGTCTCTAGGAAAGGGGCATCGTTTTCTTTCCTGTGGACCTCAAATTTCTGGCAGCCTAGTAGTCTCTTGGAAAGAGATGACTTACAAAAGTGCATCATCGTCAGAGCCAAGGGCAACCTGCTTGCACAGTGGGTAACCAAAGTCTGATCGCTACTGGAAAAGAGTAAGAAGAACTTCCACAGTCTAGAGCCCTTCACTGCACTCTGGACCACTTGGGCACATCTGCACACCCAAAGGGAGGTGCGTTTCAAGCCTGGCAACTGCAACTCGGTTGGTTTTAAATCGCCAGGAATCTTAAAACAAGCGGTCCCCTATTGAGGTCGGGACAGAGGAGACGCCCACCCCGCTAGGGGCCCCGTCAGGGCTCCGGCCAGAGGCTGGACGAGGTGGGCAACCGGCTACCTCACCCTAGGAGTCCCGTGCCGGGTCGGGCTGGGCACAGGGGTGCACGGGGCTTGCAGGGAGAGGTGGTGCGGACGTCCTCCCCCGCCCATCCCCTCCTCGCCCTCCTCCCCGGCCCCGACCGCCGTCCGAGCCCCGGCCCACACCTGCCCGCCGAAGGCCAGCTTGGCGGCAGCGGCCGCCAGGGCCCCGAACGCGCCGGCGCACAGACAGTTGAGCACGCCCCAGAAGCGGCTCCGCATGGCGCCGGCCCGAAGGCGAGCGGGGAACTCCACGGGGTTGTCGGGGTAGGCGGCTGCCGACACGGCGAAACCTGAGGTCGCCGGCCCGGCCGCCATGAGGCCCGCAGTAGCCGCCACAGCCACAGCCGAGCCTCCGTGAGCCCGGCGAGGGCGGAGCCAAGGCCGAGCATGGAGGAGGCGGAGCGAGGCGAATCTGCCAGTGAGCACCGTGCGCCACAAAGGGGAACCTGCTGCTGTGAGACGAATCTGCTGTGGAGGCGAATCTGTCACAGTGCTGAAGTGACCTAGATCCTGAAAAAACCCTGCAGCCCAGGGGAAGGACGGGGTGATTTGCAGTTCCATACCTTCTTCTTGGCATGGATGAGCACCTCAAAATGCTGATTCGGGGCTCCGCAGGTCCTGAAGTCAATGTGCACCCTAAAGATGTTTGGTGGTGCACGCCTTTATTTAATCCCAGAACTCGGGAGGCAGAGGCAGGCGGATCTCTGTGAGTTCGAGGCCAGCCTGGTCTACAGAATGAGTTCCAGGACAGGATACACAGAGCAAAACCAAAACCAAACCAAACAAAATGTTTCCAGCTCTTGCCCCCTCGTGGATGCAGGGGACAGATCTGGAGGCGCGCAGCTTGGGACAAGAGTTTGGGGCAAGTGCCAAGAAAAGTGTCGTTTGTTAATCGCATTGGTTTGTTAACCACCAGAACCACAATCACTTCAAAATTCATGTAAAGTTATCCAAAAAACTAAAACGCATCACCTACTGTCAGCAATATTACAAGTTAATGGCAATCCTGGACAACACATCTCACATAAGAGGGATGGGGCAGCCTGGCATGGTTGGTGGCACAGGCCTGAAATCCAACACTACAGAGGCCGAGGCAGGATTATCGTGAGCTTGAGGCCAGCCTGGACAACATAGCAAGTACTAGGCTAGCCAAAGACTTTTTGAGACTATCTCAAAAAGAGGTTTGTTTTTTTTTAAAGGGGGGGGGGGAGGTTGGAGACCTAAGTTAGTGTTTCCCGAACACATGGATAATCCTGAGTTCAATCCATGACAGTGTATATTGTGAGTACATTTCCTTAAAAAAAATTAAAACAAACAAAACCCCAAAGTGCTTTAGAAGGGTATAAAGTGGTGCGGCCAGGCTAGGGGCAGGGGCGAATGGATCTCTGTGAGAGAGAGCAGCCTGGGCTACACATTTCATTTCTTGTTCAGCACACTATTTCCGTGGACATTCTTAACATGTCCCATTGTTCCACATGCAGGTAGTTTTGTGCGGAAATAAGGGGATGGAGTTTTGGGGGCTGGAGAAATGGCTTAGCAGTTCGGATCCCAGCCACCAGTCTAGGCAGCTCACGACCTCACAGCTCCCCACAACGTCAGAGCTCCAGGAGATCCAGTACCTCTTCCTGGCCTCCACGGGCACATACCTGAACTCGTGTGCACATACCTGAACACAGATACACATATAAAAACAAATCTTAAATAAAAAGCACCGATTATCCCAGGTAGTTGTATGTGGTATAAATGATTTCATGTGCAGTGAAGGAAGTTGACACGCAGAGGCCTCGTCGTACTGCTTCTCTTGACAGTGGAGAGATCTTAACGCTGTGGCAACGGGCAAGCGAAGCTAAAACCGATCTAAGCTGCTTCTGTCATGGTTTTCATCCCAAGATTAGTAAAGTAACACTGTGCTTTTAGCAGAAATGGTCTTCCTGTTTTAGCAGAGTAATGCAGACAGCTGTTGGCATCTGATGTACGAGGTGTAGAGATATAGTGGGAAGCAGTGTGTTGTCTAGCCGTGTGGCCAACAGAATCAGTGATTTCAGAGCAAACTAAGCCCAGGTAAAGCTAGTGGGGTGACTTGGTTATTATTTGTGTATCCAGTGTCAAAACCTAACTAACAATCTGGGTGTGATGGTGCACACCTAAAATCCTCAAACTTTGGAGTAGAAGCAGGAGGATCAGGAATTCACGGGCATCTTTGCCTACAGAGTGAGATCAAGGTAAACCTGGATTACACGAGACCCTATGATCCTGGTCAAAAGACTCACAACTAGGGCTTGAGAGTTAGCCCAGAGGTTAAGAGCACTTGCTCTTGCAGAGAGCCTGGGTTTAGTTCCCAGCACCCACAGGTGGCTCACAGTTATCAAGGGGGAAAGAGAGAGAACAGACGGCTTTCCAGCCTTTTAAAGGGTTCCCCACACACGTGCGTCAAACGCCACGTTCTGCGCCTGCGCAGCCTTTGCGTGGCCCGCTAGGGGCTCCTAGGAAATGTAGTTCCCCAGGCGAGCTACTCTCAGGGGCCTTCTGGGGAATAACAGTACCTTCTTCTGACCTCCAAGGATACCACACATGTGGTACAGGTACATACACGTAGGCAAAATATTTATACACAATTTTTTAAAACTTGTTTTTGAAAAAATTTATTTGACTGTAGAAAAAATTAGACATGTATAAAATGCTCATGACAATAGTTATAAAAAACAAACAAACAAAGAAAGAAAGAAACAAACGTATAGGAACAAGTTTGCTACAAAATCAGCCAGCCATCAAATTCACACCAAGTTTATCAATGGTGAATCTAAGGAGAAAAGGGCTTGGTCAACATTCACCAGAGGCCTCAGCTGTAGGTTATTTTAAAGGGTCTTCCAGAACTTACAAGTGACTGGAAACCTGGAAGTGCATTGTTACCCACTTGACAGTCTGCTGTTTGCATGCAGAATTCCATCAGAATACTGAGGGTCACTGCACACCATGGTTAATGATTAAGGTCTTTTAGTTTGGCTCTATTAATTGGGCTTGGGCAATCTCACTTTTAAAGAACCAATGTAAACAACGTGATGTTTAGGGAGCTGGCTAGGAGCTTTAGAACTCATTCTTTTTCTTTTCTTTCAAAAACACATTTTCAGCACGCAACTTTTCTGTCTCCTGTAATTAAAAAAAAAGAAAAATTAAGTTTCTAATTGTTATAGAAGCTATTTTCTATATATTCAAATTAAAGCTACAATATTTAGTTTGTGAATATTAAGTAAAAATCTGGCACCTGTGAGATTAGAGTGTGACCCTGTCTCAAAACACAAAAAAGTAAAATAGCAATGACCAATTTATTTTACTAAAATAATCACTTTTAAACCACCATAAATTTACTTAGAGCAGTTTCCAGCTTACCTCAGCAAGCCTGACGTTTTCCTTCTTGAGACGCACTACGTACTGGATCTTCTGATGGAGGTTTCGATGACCTATCAATTTTCCGTTTTCCTCAGCAAGGTACTCGAGCTGCTTTCTCAGCATCTCCATTTCCTGTCAACCCAAGGACGGGAAGATCACTCTATGCACACCCTCACCAGCACCAACGGAGCGCTGGCCAAGCTTCTGTGGGCCTTCTGCACACCACAGAAACTGAATCACGGATGTGTTTTGTTAATTCTATTTACTCAAGTATTCTACGTAGCGTAGACAACCCGACACACCTGGAAAGTTCTCTCTCTTTCTTCATACATTTCTTCCAGTTTTGACCGCAGCTGCTCCTTCTCCTGAAATGCTCTGGACTCCAAAATTCTGGTTCGCTCAATCTCCTCACCCATTCTGTGGCAGACCTTTTCCTTACTCTGAAGAGCACTTTGGACTTCTTCTAGCCTGAAAGAATAAATAGCATTACTAACAGTACTGCAAGAAAATATAGTTATAAAACAGGACTCAAACTAGGTTTTTCCTTCTAAGTTCAGAATTTGATTTCTTCAGGACTCCTGTAGAGCTGGCAAAAGAAGACAGGCTTGCTGGATGGTGGTGCACATCTTTAAATCCGAGCACTCCAGAGGCAGAAAGTAGACCCCTGAATACAAGGCCAGCCTGGTCTACAGAGCAAGTTCCAGGACAGCCAAGATTACACAGAGAAAACCCTCTCTTGAAACAAACAAACAAACAAAAAGGCTAGAACTGGGGTGGACTTAGGTGGTGAAGGCTTTGCTGACAACGGCTCAGGCCCAAGGCTCCACCTTCCTCAACACAGTAGGGAGATGTGATTGCTTTGTTAGGTCAATGTTTTAATCCTGAGAAAAACTCTTCAAACCATGTTATTTATTATTTGGAGTCACACTGTTGTGTAGCCCAGGTTGTCCTCAAAGTCACTATGTAGCTGAGGATGACCTACTTCCCTTAGCCAAGTGCTGGGATTATAGGCATATTCCACAATGACAGGCTTCACATTTTTAATCATAAAAATTTAGTGTGAAACTTTGCTTGACCACATGGAGATGGAAATGAGGTATCATTACTGTCCGTAGGCTTTAAGTGTCTCCAATCTCAGAATAATGATCTCTGATTTAAAAACCAAGCCCCAGACAATGGAACATTAGTTCTGGCATCAGGGGTGTGTACCTTACCCATTTCAGTGAAAAAGGATAGGATTTCACCCACTTTATAAGAGCATTTCAGTCTTGTAAACTTTCTGTTGGAAACACTGTTTGCTACAATGCATGTGGAATGTAATACGGACTGATGGATGAGGTGATACACAGGATCCAAACCTCTCCATAGGCCGGCTCAATCTAGGCAATGTGTTTGCAGAGCATGTTCAGCCGTACCCTCAGAGACCATGCAGGAAGAGCTCCGCCTCTGCTCTGGTTGAATGAAAAGCTCAGATGCTGCTCCCGCCCACCTTTCTGTCAGTCAGGTTTTGTGGCTTGAATGCGAAAAGTTCCCTAGGGCCCATGCATTTTTAATAGCGGACTGGCGCTATTTTAATACCGGGTTCCTGGCGGACTGGCGCTATTTTAATACCGGGTTCCTGGCGGACTGGCGCTATTTTAATACCGGGTTCCTAGCGGACTGGCGCTATTTTAATACCGGGTTCCTGGCGGACTGGCGCTATTTTAATACCGGGTTCCTAGCGGACTGGCGCTATTTTAATACCGGGTTCCTGGCGGACTGGCGCTATTTTAATACCGGGTTCCTGGCGGACTGGCGCTATTTTAATACCGGGTTCCTGGCGGACTGGCGCTATTTTAATACCGGGTTCCTAGCGGATTGGCGCTATTTTGGAAGGCAGTGGAGACTTTCTGGAGGAAGTACATCCCTCTAAGGCCCATGTCTTGAGGGTTTTTGTTTTGTTTGAGACAGGGCCTCTCTATGTAGCCCTGGTTGTCATGGAACTTATGATGTCTTGAAC